TGCTTTCTGGAGTTGGTACCTAGTTTTTTGGAGTTGGTACCTTTTTTTTGGAGTTGGTACCAGTTGTTTTGGAGTTTTTACCTTTTTTTTGGAGTTGGTACCTACTTTTTTGGAGTTGGTACCTTTTTTTTGGAGTTGGTACTTGCTTTCTGGAGTTGGTACCTGTTTTTGTGGAGTATTTACATTTTTTTTTGAGTTGGTACCTTTTTATTTGGAGTTTTACTTTTTTTGGAGTTGGTACCTGTTTTTTTGGAGTTTTTACCTTTTTGTTGGAGTTGGTACCTGTTTATTTGGAGTTTTTAACTTTTCTTTTTGGAGTTGGTACCTTTTTTTTTGGAGTTGGTACCGTTTTTTTGGAGTTGGTACCTGTCTTTTTGTAGTTTTTACATTTTTTTTGGAGTTGGTACTTGCTTTCTGCAGTTGGCACCTAGTTTTTTGGAGTTGGTACCTGTTTTTTTGGATTTGGTACCTAGTTTTTTGGAGTTGGTACTTGCTTTCTGGAGTTGGTACCTAGTTTTTTGGAGTTGGTACTTTTTTTTGGAGGTGGTACCTGTTTTTTTGGAGTTGGTACCTGCTTTTTGGATTTGGTACCTAGTTTTTTGGAGTTGGTACCCATTGTTTTTTGGAGTTGGCACCTATTTTTTTGGAGTTGGTACCTGCCCAGTTTTTTTTCCCCGTTTTTTTCAGCTCCCTTCCGGGAGCTGGATAAATAGTGTTTTTCTTCGGATTTGTTCACTTTCCGGGAGCGGACAAGCATTTTCCCCCAGGATTTTCTGTTTCTGGGAGCTGGACAAACAAGTTAAACAGGGTTCCGATGGCTGCATGTCCCTTGTGGTTTTGAAACAGCATCTTTTTGGTCCATTTGGTTTGCGAGTTGCCGTTGAGTGGCGTGATGCTTAGCGCAATCTAGGGAGTCCTTGCGCAGCCAAGAGATGGCCCCTGGCTCAAATGCACCCCCTTTGGCGGAAGATTTCTGAAAGCCCCCGGAACGTGGGAGATGCGCCAATTGTTTTTTGCCCAACATGTCAACCAGTGCATAGGGGTACACTCCCGTTGGTTTCGAAAGTGAATTAGGGCTGGTTGTTCAAACACATTTCGCCCAATCCTGCTGGGCAAGGGACGGGCCAAATACAGGCGGCTGACATTTCGCAAGGGCTAATTTCGCATCTGATTTATTAACCAGGCTCCCGCCTGCTGCCGCCGACCCTCGGCGCATTAAGGGAAAAGTCACAAGGACCGGTCCTGAAACACGTCCGCAAACCCAGGGACCACTTATAAGATCCTCTACGACCACAAACAAGGATTAACGGAAAAGTCAGAAATATGGCAGCTAGTCCGTTAATTATCGCTTGGGCCGGCTTGCGCCCAAGTCACTTGGAGTTGGCCCGGGAGATGTCGCCTCTCCCGGGGTCGCCCTGAAACTGGCCCTCCCAAAGTTGCCCTGGACCGGTCGCCGGCAGGGACCGGGACAGGCTGGTCCCAGTCTGGCGCGGCTTGACTCGACGTATTGGACTCTTTTGCAGAATAGATCCAGGGATCCTCTACTACCACAAGGATTAACGGGATGGCAGCTCGTCCGTCAATAACCGCACAGGCCGGTTTGTGCCCAAGTCACGTTGAGCTGGTCCTAGAAACAAGGCCGTCGGTGCCCCTCAACCGGTCGCAGGGAGTGACTGGGACCTGGGACCCTAGTCCGGAAAGGTGTCTGGAGCGGTTTGAGGTGGCACCACAGCAGTTTGAAGTGGGACCCGATACCAGCGGTCACACCAGGACTTGATCCCGGACCGGCTTGTCCTGAAAGCGGTCCTGGCCGGGACCAGTCCGACCAGTCCCAGGACCGGTCCTAGGATCGGTCCTGGGACCGGTCCCAGGACCAGCCTCAGGACCGGTCGTGGGACTGGTCGACCGTCCCAGGACCGGTCCCAGGACCGGTTTTGGAAACAGCAGAACCAGGGTCCCAGGACCAGTCCCAGCCAGGACCGGTCCCAGGACTGGTCCCAGGACTGGTCCCAGGACCGGTCCCGGGACCGGTCCCAGGTTCCAGGACCGGTCCTGGAAATCCACTTTTTGTGGGTTCGGGCGTGTCCTCCAGGGACTATCATTGATTCCAATCACTTCCAGTTGCATCCCACGCCGGTCCCCTCTGCAGGAGGCTGGGACGGGAGGCAGAGGGTCGGCGGATTCGCTGCTGCAGGACCATTTTGCCCACAACGGACGGTACTTGAACTTTGTGTTCCATCCTTAGTGTCCTCTTTCCGTCGTTTTGCACGCTTAGGGTGGCACTCGTACATAGCTGTACCATCAGCAACAAGAGACAAAGACAAAGACAAAGGGCTCGCTCAAGTTGATCAGGCTGATGCATTTGACTCACACATGAAGTTTGCCAATCCAGATTGGTCCAATCCCTGTGAACGTCTCAGCCCCTTCCTTTCAGTTTCCTTTTCTTGCGTCAACAATGCCGTGCGCCTGTTGCACGCGAGAAAGTGGCCCGCGGCTGAAGCGGGAGAGGGAAGACATGAATGTTTTGTTTGGCATTCACATCCTGGCTAGAAACTGTAATATGGAATCAGCCTCAAGGGATTGCCCTAAGCGTCCAGCGAAAACGGTTCTTGCCGTTTCCATCCTTCACAGGCACTTTCACAGACAGGTACACGAGTTTAGGTCTCAAGGGCAAATGCAGCATACAATTCACAGCAAGAAGAATCACCTATCGCATGTTCAGGCGCCCAGCTGCGGGTATCCGCCCATTGCAAGATCCTTTGTAGGAAAGGCCAGTGAAGGAGTGGTGTGAACACTGCGTTTCATGCTCCGCGCTCAACTGAGAAAGGTCATGGAAAGAAGTGTTCGCTTTTGGCTTAGCAATGAAGTATAGCTTTGCAGACTGGACGACGAAGTCATGGTAAGCTGCGAGTGTTTTCGGAAACGGTTTTGCCTGCTTTCAGCTTGCTTGAGGCGTCTAAGTATGGCTGCTGCTTTTGTCTGCAAACAGCTTTTGGCAGCACTATCAACCGCGTTATTGTGAAATGCGTTCCAGCTGTCACAGACCGAGGCCTGAGCGCCTTCTCATCTGCGCGCTTTGACTTCCACCAGGCTAACGCCACCACGAGAAATATGCGTCAACTGTGCGCACCATGAGTTATAGAGGTCAGAGTGCTCCCAGAAAGTGGGTACACAGTATCCATTGTCAAGGGTAAAGTTTGCCTTATCCATAAAAGTCTTTCAGTCAGAATAGATTCCACAAGTCTTTGAGACGCCTGAAGCAAGAGTCGCTTGCCCTGAGAACACACTGATCAGTCCCTGGCAGGAGTTTTGCTCGGACTGTTCGGAAGTCATGTTGGGTTGGCTGGACACAAGTCACGGCAGAGGCAGCAACGGCAAAATGTCTATCCCTTGAGAAAGAACATGTCCGATCATGTGATGTCAGTTGGCTGGTGTATGCTCCCGTGAGTCATTTTCCTCACAGAGCGTGCATGTAGGTGTATCAGAATGATTCCATCTACTGACAAAATCATGAGTAAAATTGCTAGAAAGGGGTGCAACCTCACTACCTTTGTATCTCTCTATGGACTTTTGCAAGTCTATCGGCCACACAGGTTTTTGACTTTTGGGGCATGAGCGGAACCCGAGCAACACCATTCTCATAGAAGGCGTGGTGCTGCCTCACGAAACGCATAGGCAGGTCCCACGGTGGACCGGCCGTCGACCAGCAGCGATTGGAAATTTCGAAAGTGGGCTGGGAACATCAACCCAAATCTCCGCCACACTTTAAATCTTCGAAGCTGGTCCGCAAACTGCGGATCCAGATTGGGACCACACATGGACAAAGACATGAAATGTTTTTTTCCCGGATGTAGCGTTACCTAGAGCACGCGCTGTCGCGGTGCATAACTGCGTGAACTCCTCCAAGGAAACGTTCACAAACTCTGACCGTGCGCTCCCAGTGAAACGGCCCGAGGTGATGAGACGGTTTTTGTACCTCCTTGAAGCCCTGACCTCTCGCGCTCTGTGAAGCTCTCTTCCACACCTTCTTAACCTTTGCTCGAGTGTAGCATGCGTCCACACTCAGGTCACATGCGTATGTTTTGACCGGCTCAACTGGATAAGGCTTTTTCAAGGAGACCAGGTCCTGCGCTTGCTGGCCTGAAATTTCACGCGAAAGGCAACTGCAAAGCAGGAGCTGCTTGCGCATCGGAGAAGGTTATCAGTCGTGAGAGACCAGTTATCCACAAAGAAGGGTGTCACCGCTTCACCGGAATTCTGACAAAGACAGAACTCTTCGGGTCGCGGCGATCGCCATGGAACATGTTTGTGGGATTCCGGTTGTGGGTTCTTGTGGAGGACCTGCGTGTCCAGCCACCACAAGCGACGATGCCAAGATGCAAAGGACACAGGCAGGGTGCAGTGTCAGCCTGGGCATGTTCCAAGTTGAGCGCGTACTTTTGACTCCCCCTGCAAGGGATTGGGGGCACCTTGAAAGCCAGCCGTTCGCAAATGAGGGCCGATCTATATGTCGCCCAACCGCGATAAACGCGCCTCATTGTGGTGATAGCAAACCTGGAGCGCGGTGGGCGCTCCATCTGCTTTTGGCAGACATGTGACCAGGGCCCTGGTCCACTGCCCAGTTTCCAGCGCGTGAAAGCTCTCGCATTTCTATTACAGGACAAGCGCACACACCACGGGCAGATTTCGTGTACATCATTCTTCGCCAGACTGGCAAATCGAACATGGAATATGTCATGTCTTCAAGGCGGGGCGTGCTCTTGACAAGGTCAATGGCCGCTTGCCAGTTGTCACACAATCGTCTTCTGGCTCTTGTTTAAGCCAGAAGTTCCAAGCTGACGCAAGTTCATCCTGACAATCCCTAGGCTCAAGTCATTGCTTCACCAGCGACGGTCTCACAGGCAAACTTTTGATGCTAACAGGGGGGGCCGAAAGAAAAAGAGTGATCATGCACAGCTGTGACAACATGAGCAGAGCCCGCAACTTGACTTTAATGACCAATGGGTTTTTGGAAGCATGGAGTTTGGCCAAATGTCAGTTTGTCAAGGAGAGTATCTCTCACCAGGGACCAAGGGAGTGTGACTCTCCAGCAATAATCCTTTCGGCCCCTTGTGAAATGAGAGCGCCGCCCAATCTGGATCCAATCGCAAGAAAGGTGGCCTTCTGCAAATCTAGTGATGCCGAATGTATGGACTCGCTCAACGAGGTTTTCAGGTTCATCTTCCTGAGGCCAGAAAGCGCAGCAGATCTTGCAGATGCAGCGGCTATTCGTGGCGGATGCGACCAATGTGGCCGTTGCGCTGGCTGGGCTGGTCAGACGCTGCAGCTGCGGTGCCGGACTTGGCTTCTACCGCAGATGCTGCGGCCGTGGTGACGGATGCGCCGAGCTGCAGCGGCGTCGCCGCAGCCGGCAGCTGCAGCGGTCTTCGTGGCAAATGCGCCGGATGCGGCAGCTGCTGCGGTCTTTGCGTGTGTGACGTCGGATGTCGCAGATGGGGACGTGGAGGATTGGTGCGCAATGATTGTAGATTTCGTGCGCGGAATGGAATCCCCCAAGTAGAGCTTTTCAACCCAAACCACATGCAGGCATTTCCCATCCCTCGTGTTTTGTCCGCTTCCAACAGACCTCCAGTGATCTAACTGGCCAGTGGGCCACCTCTTTGCCTGCGCTGGCGCTACGACCGCGACCGTTTGGGGCGAAAAGTGCCAAAAAGGGCCCGGCCCAAGTCCGCGAATTTCGCCTTAGCGGGGGGGGGGGGGGGCCTCAGTTTTTCCGCTCTTGGTTTCCCCGCGTTTGTCATGTGTCTTTCTCTTTTCATCTAGGGGGAGTGGGTGGGTGGGTGGGTCGTTTCTTTTTCTGGGCTTTGGGCTCGCGGGCAGTTGGGCCGTCTGTGGCCTCATTTTTCAAATCTATCAAGATTGCGCTGATCCTTTTCCCCATACCTTTCCTCCCTCAAACATGTCGGGGGGGGGGGCCGGGGGGATGGAGGGAGGGGCACGGGTCGGTTCGGTTCGGTTCGTTCAGGGCGCCTCCAACTTCGTGCCGCGGGGCAGTGCCCAGGCGGCGGCGCGCTTCGCCCGGAGCCGCAGAGTCGCGAGCGACGGGGGGTTGGGGAAAACGCAGGGCTCAAGCGGCCAATTTGCAGTTTTGGCGTCCTGGAGATTTTCGTTTTCTGCGGTTGAACCCCTCACTTGGCAAAAAGGTGGGTGACTGAACGAAAAGCCATGAACCCTTTGCAAGGTGCGTGTGAACCTCAGTACTGGGGGGGGGTTCTTGTGAGGGGGCTGTTTTGAGGGGCCTCTTATAAACAGACCACCGCGTATGGCATTTGATGTCTAGCCCCAAGCTCACGTGCTGGACTGAAATGAAGGCAGCTGGCAGCTGGCCCCTCAAAGCTTGTAGAACCTTGTGATTTTTTTCAGCTAAACAGGTTGTGAAAAGGCGAGGACCCTGCTTGCTTTCACACATGATGGCACGGATCGTGGACTAGAATTGGACGATTTCCCTTTTGGGTACCCCTTGCCCAACGGCTTCCCCTGGAAAAAGAAGGGTACCAACCTCTTCTTGTTGGTTTGGCGGTTGTTCTTTTTGGTCATCTTTAGTTAGCCAGCTTGCTTGCTTGCTTGCTTGCTTGCTTGCTTGCTTGCTTGCTTGCTTGCCTGCCTGCCTGCCTGCCTGCCTGCTGCCTGCCTTCTCGCTCGCTTTCTTGATCTTTTTTGCTGGCTTTTGCTTCCTTTGAAGCCCGCTTCGCTCCAAGGCGCGCCAGCCATGCCAGCGCCTGCATGTGGCCACCACGCTGGGGGCTTGGACGCTGGTCGCCCTTTCTGGGGTTGGTTGGCAGGAAACCCACCCAGCTTTTTGTTGCGACACGTAATCCACATGGGTTTAGTAGAACCACACGTGATTTTGTTTCTGGGGGGGGGGGAACTGTAAGCCATGAGATCAGGAGTGGAAGGTTTTGGCAAGCCTTGAGGCCTCAGGCTGAATAGGCCTTGGCGAGTCCCTGCAACGAATTACCGCCCCGGACTCCGGTCATGTTGCACCTCGAAGAGCCTAAACTTGTCGCGAGCAAACGAAAGCTTGTCAAACTTGGCGCCCCTCCAAAACAAACATCTTGATCTTTTGTTCCATGAGTTTCAGGCATTTTCCCCGGCATTCGCTTGAGGACCAAGAGTGGAGAACTTGGGAAAGGACCTCTTTCAGTTTGGTGAGTTCAGGGTGCGGAAACCTGCCAAGAGCTCTTTGAAAACAGCCTATTTGGCCTGAACAACGCACCATCAACAACCCCTGAGATGGCTCACCGTAGGATCACTGGGAAAACCCCGCAAAACTTAAAACACAAGGGAAAAGGGTGAACAACTGGAGCCCTCCGGAAAACCAGGAAACTGCCACAAACTGGTTTTGACTGACTTTAAGCTCAGGTACCCTCAAAACTACCGCACCATCCACCTTCGCCCATAGATTCAAACCAGGGACTCCCGTCCCTCCATCTCGCGCCCCATGGACGCCCAGTGTCCTCTTTACTGCCATAGACTGGTTTTGGCCGCTTTTCCCTCCCCCCCCCCTCCCCCTCCCCGTCCCTCCCCCCGTCCCTCCCCCCGTCCCTCCCCCCATCTCGCGCCCGCGCCCTCGCGCCATCTGTCGCACCGAAGAAAGCCCCCGCCCTCGGATCGATCGAAAGCTCGAGGCTGCGGCGCGGGGAGCGGCTCAGCCCGCGGGCGCCCAAGTTCTACCGGCCCTCCTCCGCGCAGGCCGAGCCGAGCCGCTCCGATCCGAGCCGCTGGGCCGAGCCGAGCCGCTGGCCGAGCCGCGAGACGGAGGAGAAAGGGCGGGGCCGAGCCGCGGGGCGAAAGGACGCCTGGTCCGTTGAACTTGTTAACTTCAGATTTCGGAAGGCCCTAGTCTAGCCAATTACAGTAGATAGCCAACTATGGGTGAATCTCAGAAGTAATCAATCCAGTTTTTTAGTTGGTTGCTTTTTGGTTTAGTGGGATTTCACTTTTGGAGGGGTCCCCACCCCCTATTCCTCCTTCTTGTCAGTCCGAGGTTAACATTTGTCACATTGAACTAGATTCGCTTTTTGGTAAGACGCGAGAGACTGGAATCTGAGACGTCTTTGCAGTGTTCCCCTCCAAAGGTGATGATTCCCCACTCTGGGGCACCCCACATGAAGAATGGGATGAATCAACCCACAGTCCATGATTTCCATGAATGGCGGGGAATCACTTTTAGAGGGGCCCCACCCCCACCCCCGCCCCCTAAGAATAAACCGGGGTTGATTTATCTGTCACAAATTCTTACCGCCAGGTGAACTTCCGCCGAACTCCGGTGGGGAATCTCCAGATTGTCTACCCCCCCACTCCGGAGGCGTGGGGCCAAAGAACACGGCGACTGGCGGGCGGGGCCGCCGGGGGACTGGGGACTTTTTGCTTGAAGAAATCGAGTTGGCAAAAGCTGGAAGCGCTGTTGTGTTGCTGGGCTTCTTCATGCTTTTCCGTTTTTGGACTCAAACTTGAGGCGCTTTTTGCTGGACTTTTGCGTCGTAGGTTTTTGTTTTTTCCGATCATTTTGGTAGGTCTTTCCATCTTGGCAGGCTTGGGGTGAATCCCTCATGAATCCGCAGTGAATGGGCCTTTTGACCTTGTATGCTCTACCCACCTCGGGTAGATTCTGACCATGGTACGACTCGCAGACGGTTCGGTCAAACAAATGGTCGCCTACTGTCCATGATCGCCTACGGCCGGAGGGGCGTGAGGCGAGCTGTAAGTTTCAATCACAAGCATGCTTTTCCCATGCTCTCGTGGGAAAGCGCTTCATTTTGACCATGGCTCAGCATGAGTCATTGTCAAACCTGGAATTTTGAAGGAACCTATCCGAAACCAGCGGTACAGAATCACCAGGGCTTTGTCAAGCTCTGTGGCGACGTCCGCCTGCGATGTCGACCGCACAGCCGGCGTCGCGCCGTGCAGTGTACGGGCGGCGGGCGTCACCCGGAGGAGCGCGCAACGTGCTTCACCTCCGCGTAGGCCGCAGACCGGACGCCCGCAGACGCCCGTGACCGTCGCTCACCTCGGAGATGCCCTCGGCCGAGCGTTTTAGAGTTCTGGGCGGAAGCAGGCACAGGCAGGCGCCGATGGCCGGTTTTTGGTGCTTTCAAAACACCAAAAAGTGTATCCCGGTTGCACTGGGTGGCAGACGTAGGACACATGCTGCACAGGGCTGTGTGGTACAGGGCCGCTTGAAGCATTTAGGTGTTCATTCTTCCAGAGGCAATTTGGGATGGTTTTTACACGCATAAGCACGGTTTTTGTTTAAGTCAACCAAAAGGAATCCGGTTGGGCTTGTGCGTAAACACGACATGTTTATCTTCGCTTTTGGTTTTTAAACAACAACCAACCGACAATAGACATGGGTGTTTTTTCGCCTTTAACAAGCTACCCCCCGAAAATCCTCGGTGTTCCTAGTTTCCGAGTACCTGGACATGTAGTCTGGCAGTTCGCTCGGGGCGTCCGAGTCTGACTCCGGTACGTCCGGCAGACCGTGCCGAGACGAAACTAAGGCTGAACCCCCAGATGGATGATCAACATAGGTTTCCCTACCAGAAAAAGGGGTCCATTTCTTTAGAAGCCTCCATGTTATTCAGCCACAAGCCTCACAAAACTCAGCTCCTAGTTGGAGCTTGCGAACAACTACTCCCCTGATTGACGCTGAACCCCAACGGCCAACAGTAGTGGCCCTGGTTGGGTGGTGTTCTTTTGATGGTCTCATGAAAAGCAACTTTGTTTTGTTTGAACGTGAAACAATGACGGTTTGTTTGTTTGTTTGTTTGTTTGTTTGTTTGTTCGTTCGTTCGTTCGGTCTTTTTTTAGTTTTGTTTTGTTTGTTTTGTTTTGTTTTGTTTGTGTTGTTTTGTTTTGTTTTGTTTTGTTTTGTTTTGTTTTGTTGTGCTTTGTTTTGTTTTGTTTTGTTTTGTTGTGCTTTGTTTTGTTTTGTTTTGTTTTATTGTGATTTGTTTTGTTTGTGTGTTTGTGTGTTTGTTTGTTTGTTTGTTTGTTTGATTGTTTGTTTGTTTGTTTGTTTTTTTTGTTTCTGTCTGTCTGTCTGACTGTCTGTCTGTCTTTGTCTGTGTCTGTGTCTGTGTCTGTGTCTGTGTCTGTGTTTGTGTCTGTGTGTGTGTGTGTGTTTGTGGGTATTCTGCAGGAAACTCGCTTTCCAAGCATCCACCAAACAGTTGATTTCCCGTCGATTTTTTCGGTGGCTGTTGCGCTTTGCTGGTTCTCACCCTCCGAGGTCCTCACCCTGGCGAGGCGCGAAATCGCGCGACATCGCCGTGGGCCGGGGGGGGGAGGAACATCCCCAAAGGCCCCGTCTGTGGCTTTCAGATTCCCCCCCCCCCAACCAAAAACAATGGCTTTCCTTTTTGTTCTTCTTATTTTTTTCTGTGGCTTTTTTGATGGGTTCGATTTTCCCAACCAAAAAAGGCAGAATAAAGAAGAAAGACAGAGACATCGAAGCCATTGAGAGGCGGCACGAAAGGTCTCGTCTTCCAAACCCTCTCCGCTTCCATGATGTTCGAAGGGTATCACCTGAGCGGTGGGAAAGGCGACTTTTCGTCGCATCTTGATGTCCCATGGCCCCTTTTTCGGACCCACAACTCACACCACGGAAGGGAACCGGAAGATCTTGCTCCGGTGGTGCCCCCTTTGCTGGGGTTTCTCACCCAGGTCCATGGGAAACGATGAAGTGTTTGCCGTTGGGGTGAGGTGCATAGGAGCGGAGCAGGGCCATTGTCTTGAGACCGAAACACATCTGTGGTAGTGCACTTTTTGTCGCCTGTTCTGATTTTCTTCAGGGGTCCTAGTATCGATTTTCTCGCAGACAAACGGAGCCAATTCTCTTAAGGGCTCCTAGCCCATCGATTTTCTGGCAAACAAACTATTGGGGGCCGATGGAGCCACTGACCCCGGCAACGGAGCCCTTTCAGCTTTTAGGTCAGGCTAAGTTTCTTGAACAGGTGCGCTTTTTGGCATGGTTTCAAGGGAACCCAATAGGAAACGAACCATTTCTGGGGTCCCCAAAAAACAGACAGCCAATCAATTTGGTTACTAAACCATCTACTGGTTTCAGTAGAGGCTTCTAGTCATTTCCCGGCGGGATTCATCAAGTCTATCAAAAGGACACCTAGTGCATCTGCAGGAGAAAAGCTCATCAACCGCCCGCTTCAAAGGATCTGTCTTTTTGCGAGTTTGACAGATCCAACCGCCCATCAAACATGAGGGATGTGGAATTAGGACAGGGACTTGAGACTTGATCAACCTTTGACCTATCATTCCAAACATTTGAACTAAGTTAGCTACAGACCCTCACACACCAGCGTATGCCATCTGTACAGCATGCAATTTTTGAAAGGTCGAGTTGGCATTTTCTCAGGTCTGGGTTTTGGAGGTCTGGATGCGTAGGCGCATTGCCAGCGTCGCTTTGGCCGCGGGGTTTTGCCCTTGTGAAGCCAAAAACCTCGCTGCGAAGCCGCTTGAAAGGGATCTTTGAACAGTGAGCCACCGAATCCAAGCTCGGTTTGGCAGCGCATAGCCCTTGTAAAAGCCAAAACCCATCCCTGCGAAGTCCCTTGAACAGCATCCTTTTGTGATCCTGCTTTGAAACAGTGAGCCACCGGGCTCCATTTTTTGTTTTGTTTTGTGAAGATCTCTCACTTGGGTTGGTCGCACTCAAAGGAAATGACACCAACGCATGGTTTACTCTTGACCAAACGGAAACCACCCAACCTCAGAACAAAGTTACCTGGGTTTGAAGGGTTAGTTCTTCGATTTTCTGTGAATCCAAAAAAAAGGTCGGTTTCCCTGCCAATGCTACTTTTTGCGAACATATCAGAAAGCGGGCTTCATTTTGGCCAACAAGGCGGGGTTCCTTTCCTTTTGACCTTTCCAAAAGATGCACGATCAACACGGGTGTGTCTTATAGCGGAACCCCCCCAAACTCGTGGCTCTTCTCTGTGGTCTTTGATTGAAATCAGCCCCGAAGAGGGTACCAACTGCGAAAAAAAAGCAAACAAACGCCCCCCCCCCCCCTGTGCGCATCCAAGCCCCGCCTCTTGGACCTCAAGCGCGCCTTTCCGAAGCTCGTTTCCGTTTCCGCGCGAGGAAGTTCACTGAGGAGGAGGAAGTGGAAGCTGAGGCTGGGGGGGGGAGTCCTTGTGAGTGCCATTTCGGGTCGGCCCATTTGGCAGCTCAGTAGCCCGCTTCGGATTCGGGGCGGGTCGGCTTTTTTCGAGACAACGGTGCCCTTTGAGGTTGGTTTCGTGGAAAAGAAAAAACACCAGAATCCACGGCCGGTGATTGTTTTTCTTTGAGACATGTCCCTTGTCACAAGGCCAACCGCACACCTGAGAACAAGGAAGTACAGGGAACTGCGAGCACTCCGCCGGACTTCGTTGAGAATGGGCTCAACATCACGAATTCTCTCCAAAAGGTGGCCATGCCGTGCCCTTCCAAAAGCTCTAGAAGCGAATTTGGACTGCCCATGGTCGAGCCTTCAATGGAATCCAGGACTCTGGGACCTCAAAAAACGAGACTCGTTCTTTGGAGGTATGGAACCATCTCCAAGAATCTGGGACCTCCAAAAGTCTTTAAGCTGGAGATGCCTTTCCTCCTACGGAGGGTGCTTTCGGGCTGACCGACTTGCGGCCCCGTCCGACTCGCGAATCGCGAATCGCGCATCGGCCAGGTGTCCCCGGAGTTGCAAGCGATCAGCCAGGAGACCGGGTCGTGATTCCGTTTGCCCAAGAAAAGTTCCCCACCCTTCCCTGTGATTTTCCATTTGCTCAAATAAATTTTAGTGGGTGACGAAGTTTTTTTTTTTTTTTTCAGAAGCCTTTCAACACCAAAAGGAACTACACCTACAGCGAGCCGGGGATGCAATGGGATTTGCCGTAGACGATCCTGCGGTGGAAGAACCGAAGCTGAGACGTGTCTGCAACGATTTTTCGCATCGGTGAGTGGCTAGTTTGAGCTAGCTGCTTAAACGGGGAAAGCCAGAAGAAGCTGGAAGGGCCCTGTGAAGCACCGTGATTGATGAAAACGAAGCATCGCGTGACGTTTAGTGGAACCAACCTATGGATCAATGGTAGGATTAGTCAATCGCTAGTTGGCTGCTGTGAGTGTGCCCGTCTTACAGGGCAATCCTTTGGGGAGACAGCGCCAGTCGACCTTGGATTGCGAGCTCGCCGCAAAGAGTGAAGGTGACTCGAGGCGAAGCAAGGCGAAGCGACGTCTTCACAGGCTCCAAATCTCTGGGCCCCCCAAGCAGGGCTGAGGAGTTTGCACCTTTGCCTTCGGCAACCGGTCCCAGCAGCTTGAGATGAATCGGAGTTCCCACTCTGTTGCTTTGGAAAACTCCACCCCCCCCACCCCCAAAAAAAAAGGTAAGGAAAGGAGCCGTAGCTATCGCCAGAACGGCTTCATGTTCCTTAGCTTCATTCTCTTGTTCTTGTACCTTTTTCAAAACACGCATGTTCTCGTAGCTTCATGTTCATCTCGCCATACTCCCCACATCGGCCCGGCCTTCTTTGTAGACCCCATGCTTGGTCTGACCAAGTGACCCTTCACCTCTTTAGAAAGTGGTGGAAGCTTCCAACCGTGTGTCAAATGATGCTGCGAGAGCGATTTGGAACTCCTTGTGTGAAGATATGTGAGTTCCCCAGGCAACTCTTATGGGGGGATGAGTTGGGGTGAAAAGTGAGGATTAAGCTCTAAACAGTAGTTCAAGTAGATCAACCCCTAGAGATCTCTTTTTTTCACCTGGCCTCCTTGCATTTCCGTTGAGGGTTGAACAAGCGTCACCTTTTGGTTGCCGCTTGTGATGTTTCCCATGGGCGATGTTTGCATTGACCACTTCGAGGGAGGACCTCCTCCCTCAAAATTACGACGGCAGATGCCCCTAAAGCTGGATCCCGACCATTGCCTGGGTTTGATTTGCTTTCTGGGCGCATGTTTGGCACAAGAAACAGCCACCAAACCCTGTTTGGCTCCAGAACCCCCTCAAAAAGCAAAACACTCCAGCACCCCAGAAACCCCAAACCGCTCAACCAACTCAGAAACCCAGTTTGGACTCGCCGTGATCAACCCCAATCCGCCCCACTTCTTGCTATTTTCGGATGACTCCCGGAATCGTCCTCCGCCGGCGCGGGCCCTACCTGCGACGTTTCCGCCGCAGGAGGAAGCCCAGGAGGTGTCTCCCAAGGAGACCGCCAGCCCTGGGGCCGGTGGAGTGCTGGTGGGGGCCTTTGGGTTGGGAGATGCGGGGGGGCCAGGGTTTGGTCCAACGATGGGGTGGGTTTGGTCCATTCACCAGATCTGTTTTCCAGGTATTTTCCCAACAAGAAATGCAGATTTGTTTGCCAGGTATTTTTCCCAACAAGAAATGGAGCCTTAAAAATTGGTGGTTCGCAGGTGGATGCATTCACCAGATTGTTTTTTGCCCAAGAAGAAGAAGAAGATCAATTGGGGCATGGAGAAAATTGTTTCATGGTGGTTTGAAGGGGTGGGGAAGAGGATGAGATGGGTTTGCCTCGAGATAGTTGCTTCCTCAGACATTGACGGCCTATCCTAGAAGACAATTCAATAATAGCATATGAAACCCGTACACAACTTGCGGTCGAAATTACACGTTTTTTTTCCAAAGAAAATGGCTTTGACATGGGGAACGCTTGTTCCCTTTGGCTTCCCTTTAAAATGACCACCCAAAATGGGGCCTCACCAGGTTTTGGTAAGGCGGGATATTCCTACTTGCTGAAGGGTGGGGAATATGGACATCGCAGCACCATGTTCTAGCGGAGCAGGAACGCGGGTGGGAGGCAAATCGGCGCTTGTTCCAGGGGGGGGGAGCGCAAAGCTGCAGGGTTGGTCGCGTTTTTGGTAAAGCCCCGAAAGATTGGTCCTCTTCGAGAAATCGGACGGAAGAAAAGCATGGAGGAAGCCTAAGAAGGACAACAAAAGCAAGTTTCACTCCCGCCAGATTTTTGGGAAGCTAAACGCCCTCGTGAGCCACGTGCTCAAAACCCGGGTAGATGAAGGTTAGGCCTGAAATAGTTGCGGCCGCCTTCTTGGTGGGTCGACCATTATTTTTACCGGGTTTTGAGCAAGTGACTCTCGTGATCCGTATCTCGCTGGCGAGGACCACTTTTGGAGCTTGAGATGCCCGTGTCATGGCTGTTCTTTTGCGTAGGGTGACCCTCTAGCAGTCGCAATGACCTGTTGAACCCAACCGCGGAACCGCCACAATGAGTAACCAGCGTTTTTTCCGTTTTGGTTGGTGTTGAAAGGGAACCAAAAAGAAACGCACCATTTAAACGTTGGTATACTTCAAGCAAGACCCGGCTTGGGTGGCACTCCCACGCTACACCCCCCTTGGACACAAGAGGATTTCGACGGCTTTGGGGTTCAGGCAATGGTGAAAATCCAACCCGTTTTCGTTGAAGGGAACTCAAAGGAACCCCGGTCCATTGGTCCGATCCCTTGAGAAGCCTCCAACCGCTTTTCTGCGGCTGATGGGTACAAAGCGTGGTCTAGCCTGGCTTTTGGAGGACATGGGATGCTTGGTTGTCAAAAAACACACACCCCGCTCGTTGCTCGTTGGGAAGGTCGGAATGGCGGGGAAGGTGAAAGGCCAGTGCTTCCTCATTCTTCGCGTCTGGCAGCTACATCCCGTTCCCCAAGATCTTGCACGCGCGCTGATTATTTCCAATCTATCTCGGCATCCCCTGCATCCACTGTGCTTCCCCTGCATCCACTGCTTCCCCTGCAACCTGTATTCCCCGGAACTTCTCTATCCCACCCTGCACCGCATCCCGTGCACCTGCATCTTCTGGATCCCTCCCTGCACCACCTGTCCCTATGTCCTCCAGATCCCCTGTATCCTGCGCACTCGTTGCATCCACTGTATCACCAGGTACCCCGGATCCCTCCCTCCCACGCTCTATCCCGGCATCCCCATCCACCACGTCCCGTGTATCGCCTGCTCCCGTATGTATCGCCTGCTCCATGTATTCCCCGCATCCCCTGCATCACCTCACTTCCTGCATCCCCACCCTGTGTGCCATGTATTCCTTAGATTGCGCCGAGAAGACAGATCGATCGATAGATGGATCGATGTAGAAGTAGAGATGTATACACAAATAGGCCCGCAAGAGTTTTGCCGAGAAAAAGCTCACAACCGCCGTGTTGGGGGCTGAACTTGATCTGGAAAAGCAGTCAACTCCCAGATCTCCCCATATAAAGACTGAACTGGAAAACCTAATTAAACACTAGGCCCTTGGAAGCCCCCTGTGAATCTCTAGGAATTTTGCGTATGGGTTGTTTGGTCTTTTTAGGAATGGGACTCCCAAAATGGCCCCGTTTTGGGTGTCCCTTTCGGTCTCCCCCCCATTTAAAAAAACAAACGTGGCTTCAACAAAAGATACACCCCTATGGGGTGAATCCGATTCAGTCCATTTGGGGGTGAATCGGGCAGCTTGGAGGCTTCGGGCGCCCTAAAGGTGGGGCCGGGTATTTCCTTGGGCCAAAGGGGTTTGTCGACTGGCGGGAGGAGTGCATACGCCATGGGGGAAACCGGTTTTCGCGGAACATACAAAGCACAAGCTGGTCATTGGAGCGGGTTTTTGGGAACCCGCAGTTTCTGTAACGGTGTTCAAACATCTTGATTTCAATCATCCAGGGGGGGAGCTTAAAGCCCTGAACATCCCCAACCACTAACCCCCCCCCCCACCACACATTCTTCTGGCAAAAAGAAGGAAAGACCTCCTTGAATGTTGCCACATCCGAAGAGGTGCAATTTCTCATCGTAACTAGAGTTGTCTGGATGTTCCTTACCCGCTTCAGTAGCTGTTTGTTTTTGTGCCTGTGGCAAGAGGTTTGTTTGGGCATGTCTTTTTTTGTCCCTACCCCGCCTTTTCCGTGGCCTTGAAACGAACAGTCAGACCACCGAAGTCCACTTTGGGTCTAGGTCAACAGACAAGGCCCTGCAGCGATTCGCAAACCGCGCCGCGGCTTTTTTTTTCTTCTCGGATTTGGCCGAGGATCTTCAGGATCATCTGCGCGACATTTGGTTGATGTACCACCCCCAGGAGGAGCGGCTTGCAGCAAAGCCCAGCGGAGACTCTGACGGGTTTTTTGGAGCGGGTTGCGCCAATGCCCGGGACTCGTTTTGGATGGGAGGGTGGGCAACACTTGGACACAAGTCGACCCGGAAAGCGAAATGGAAGTCTTGGCGGACGAGTCCGAGTCCCAGTTGAGCCACGGTATTGTAGTTTGGACCTGTGCCTACCCTGTCTCCAATGATGGAAGCTGACCATCGGTTTGGGAAGACGAAACCTTCCCGTTTGGGCAGGGTTCCGGAGCCCACTTCCATGCATGGTTGTCGTTGGGAAGCATTTTACATTTTTGCTTATTGTGGTTTAGTGGGAAGTCCCCACTTAACTGCTAAAATTTATTTGGTTGCTCCCCTTTCAACGCCAACCAAGCATGCACGATTGTTGAAACGTATCGCTGTTTCCAGGTTGGACCCAGGTTTCCCCCATGGATAACCCCAGCCGGGCACGGGGCTGCAGGACACGGAAGAAGCCGACGAGAAAGACAAAGCGCTTTTGCTGGCTCTGTGGCCTGTCACCACCTGGGCGCCGTTTTTCTTTTTTAGCGGGTTCCGGTGGCCATCTCCCTTGAAGGAATTCTTCTGCTCGATCGAGAGCTTTGTTGACCAGCCAGAAATTGCATTGGGACACACATTTAAATGGGCTTGACTTTTTGGAGGATACCCTTCTTGGGACATTTTCGAGTGAAACTCGCCATTTGGAGTCCCTGATTTTGACACACACACACACACACCCAAATCAGCCTCGCTCAACCAAGCCTATCACCCTTGGCTCAGGCCTTTGGTTTGCTCTACAGCCGCCCTTCAGACTTTTTGCGGGTTCTGGGAGGTCTTTTTGCGGGTTCTGGAAGCATGGGAGGACTTGGCTGGGCGCCAGATACCCATAGTCTTTTTAATTTTGTCGAAAGGAAGCCCAAAAAGGATGGGTGTCTTTTTGAAGCATCGATCCAGACTTCCTATTTCACCCGGTGGGTTTTAGGTTGCCAGATGTTGATAGGCACAAAGCCTTTAACATGATCAAGTAGACAGGGATTGCGTAGGAATCAACCATCGAACAGCATCACAAGAAGGGGTTTCCCTGGGCGCATGTTCTTTGTCCGCCTGAGGCACGGTCCGGATGAGGAAGACAAGGAAGAAGCTTTGTTGCGCCTCGGCGTTTGGCCAAAGCGTTTGGTGCTTTTGGACTCTTTCCTTGAGCCAAGTTGCAGGCCCCCTTGTCCTATCAGGAAAGCCAGCCCTTTTGACGCGAAGTGCCAGGGGTTTTGAATTACCTGTTTAATACCGGGAAGGGGGGGGGGGAAACGGTTTCCCTCATCACAACTTGAATGTTCTTTGGTTTCAGAACCTCATTGGCTTTTCTTTGGCTGAAAGACCTCCACCTTTCCGGAAACCACGGATTGTTTCCACCCGGGCTCAGTGCCAAGCTCATCCAACAACGGCCGACCATCAAATGCCTCCAACAAATTGGTATTCGTCTATATCTGGGGTATGTAGCGGTATGGGTTGGACCTTTAGACTTTAACTTTTTGGCTGAAAGAAAGGTGTTTTCCACTAACCCCCCAAGAAGGTTTCCACTTTTTGCAAGGGGGTCAACAGCAACCAAGGTATGTACGTACTGTGGGAGGCACGCAATTCAGCCGGAGCCTCCCGAAAGCCAATTCATGTTCCAGCCCAAGGGGCTTTTCACTGAGGGTGATGCTCAGGTTTGGAAGCTAGAAGAGTGGAATTTCTTTTCGGTTTCCCTACCAAAGGCTTGCCTTTTCGGCTTGGTCTGCCTTCTATTTTTCTCCCTGATTTTCCCTTAGCCAACTGTCGTCACATGTTGCGTTCCGGTCAGATCCGTCTGGATGGGGTCTTTGGAGCCATGGAAATGTCGAGCTCACCGCGAGCTTGAGCTGGAGCAAAGTCCCTATCTTCCTTCAGTGAATTATACCACTTGACCCAAATCAGTCCATGAACGTATCGATTTGATCTATGAACCCCTATGAAACACCGGTAACCCTGGTGAATAGACAGGTAAGATCTAGAACTTGAGCCTGTTGGGAGGCTACGCTTTTCAGGCCGGTTTAAAGGAACCCCCCCGTCTTTTTGGGGTACCGTACCCCTATTTTGACCCAGAGGATTCTTTCCATGACCAGGAATGAGATGAAGCTTCTCAAGACTGGAGAGGACTCCGAAGTGCGCACAATCCAAAGCGGTGCCGTGGAGACCGTAACTACAAGTCCGGCTAAAGTGAGTTTCTGAAGGAGAGATCTTTTGTTGGGGAACGATTGAAAATAGTCTGGTGGCTCAGCTTGCCAGACTGTGGATTGATCTGATTTGGGTGTATGTGTGTGTGTGTGTGTGTCAAAATCAGGGACTCCAAATGGCGAGTTTCGCTCGAAAATGTCCCAAGAAGGGTATCCTCCAAAAAGTCAAACCCATCTAAATGTGTGTCCCAATGCAATTTCTGGCTGGTCAACAAAGCTCTCGATCGAGCAGAAGAATTCCTTTCAAGGGAAATGGGTCACCGGAACCCGCTAAAAAAGAAAAACGGCAACCAGGTGGTGACAGGCCACAGAGCGAGCAAAAGCGCTTTGTCTTTCTCGGCGGTCCTGCGTCGAGGGATGCAGGTGATGCAGCCAGGAATGCAGATTGAAGGATTTAGGGGATGCCGGCGATGCTGCGACATGATTCTGCAGGCCAGCCTGCAGACTGAAGGGTTTAGATGATGCCAGTGATGCAATGGCGTGATTCTGCAGGATGCAGGTGATAGAGCCAGGAATGCAGATTGAAGGATTTAGGGGATGCCAGCGATGCTGCGACATGATTCTGCAGGCCAGCCTGCAGACTGAAGGGTTTAGATGATGCCAATGATGCAATGGCGTGATTCTGCAGGATGCAGGTGATGCAGCCAGGAATGCAGATTGAAGGATTTAGGGGATGCCGGCGATGCTGCGACATGTTTCTGCAGGCCAGCCTGCAGACTGAAGGGTTTAGATGATGCCGGTGATGCAACGGCGTGATTCTGCAGATGCTGCGACATGATTCTGCAGGCCAGCCTGCAGACTGAAGGGTTTAGATGATGCCGGTGATGCAACGGCGTGATTCTGCAGGATGCAGGTGATGCAGCCAGGAATGCAGATTGAAGGATTTAGGGGATGCCGGCGATGCTGCGACATGATTCTGCAGGCCAACCTGCAGACTGAAGGGTTTAGATGATGCCGGTGATGCAACGCCGTGATTCTGCAGGATGCAGGTGATGCAGCCAAGAATGCAGATTGAAGGGGATGCCGGCGATGCTGCGACATGATTCTGCAGGCCAGCCTGCAGACTGAAGGGTTTAGATGATGCCGGTGATGCAACGGCGTGATTCTGCAGGATGCAGGTGATGCAGCCAGGAATGCAGATTGAAGGATTTAGGGGATGCCGGCGATGCTGCGACATGATTCTGCAGGCCAACCTGCAGACTGAAGGGTTTAGATGATGCCGGTGATGCAACGGCGTGATTCTGCAGGATGCAGGTGATGCAGCCAAGAATGCAGATTGAAGGGGATGCCGGCGATGCTGCGACATGATTCTGCAGGCCAGCCTGCAGACTGAAGGGTTTAGATGATGCCGGTGATGCAACGGCGGGATTCTGCAGGATGCAGGTGATGCAGCCAGGAATGCAGATTGAAGGATTTAGGGGATGCCGGCGATGCTGCGACATGTTTCTGCAGGCCAGCCTGCAGACTGAAGGGTTTAGATGATGCCGGTGATGCAACGCCGTTTCTGCAGGATGCAGGCAGCCAGGAATGCAGATTGAAGGGGATGCCGGCGATGCTGCGACATGATTCTGCAGGCCAGCCTGCAGACTGAAGGGTTTAGATGATGCCGGTGATGCAACGGCGTGATTCTGCAGGATGCAGGTGATGCAGCCAAGAATGCAGATTGAAGGATTTAGGGGATGCCGGCGATGCTGCGACATGATTCTGCAGGCCAGCCTGCAGACCGAAGGGTTTAGATGATGCCGGTGATGCAACGGCGTGATTCTGCAGGATGCAGGTGATGCAGCCAGGAATGCAGATTGAAGGATTTAGGGGATGCCGGCAATGCTGCGACATGTTTCTGCAGGCCATCCTGCAGACTGAAGGGTTTAGATGATGCCAGTGATGCAACGGCGTGATTCTGCAGGATGCAGGTGATGCAGCAACAGGTTCCTGCAGGTTGACTCCCATCAGTCAGACGAGTTGCGCCAGTCTGCGGATTGATTTTGAATTGCCAAGGGGGGTAGACTTGCGCCCAAACCTTTGGCAAAGTTGGCTTATATAGATATATATATATATATATATACACACATAAGTGAGTCCACCTAAACAAGCGGCCTATCGCTGGCCTTAAGTTGAACCGGGATTCCAGCTCGAGGGTTTAGGGGCAAAGACTAATAAGCCTTAAAAAAAACACCTAAAACATCTTGGTTGGTGGTAAAAACTATCTTGTTTGGTGGTTTGTTTGTTTGGTTGGCGGTAAAGACTAACAAACTTTTTGGGCAAGGACGCCATCGCCTTCTTCGCCAAGCACGGGGACCAGTCGGACCTGCAGGCCCCGACATGTTCCCGAAGCTTCGGTTGCTGCCCCGGACCAACAGGCGACGAAAAGGCCAAACCCCTCCATGTTCATCGCCCTTCTCATCATTTGGGCTCATTTGGCTGGTCTTTGAAAGCTCCAAGCTTCATACAGATCTGACTTTGGTTTGGTTCCGTTTTTGGGAGGGGCTTCATTTGGAATTCCAGGAAACCAAAAACCAAAAGGAACCAAAGGCGACCCCGTCCAAAACCACGGGCCGGGGAGACGTCTCCCCGACGTCTCCGATGCGTGGCGGAGGTGATCTACTGCGTGGCGGCGGAGGTGGAGGAGGGCAAGTTCCGGCCCTACGACCTGGTGGTGGTGGACGACAAGGTCACGACGGATCGATCGGTCGACCGAATCGGCGTTCTTGGCCTCTTTTTTTTGGAAGCGAGGGAGTGAAACCTGGGGGTAGGGTGCGTGTAGACACCCATAAATTTGGGCTGGCGGAAATATAAATATAAATATAAATATTTATTTGTAAATATATATATATATATATATTTATTTATATATATACACATATATATATATATACACATACATATATATATATATACATATAGATATATATACATATACATATATATATATATATACACATAACCGCAGGTTATTTAATCGCTTGGAGCGAGTTTCCTGGGGGTAGGGTACAGTCGAGACGCTTTTTATTGGGCTGTGGCCGCAAAACGGACCGTTGGCCCAATGTCGACGTCTCCTTAAGATGGCTACTCTCAAATCAGCAACAACCAGAGGTTTAATATATACAACGGCTATGTCTAAGCTTCCTCATCCAATTAGTGGTTTGTCCCCATATCAATGCCGTTTTCCCCTGGGTCCCGGTGCAAAGGGAGAGCTGGTGGATTACCCTGGTACCAACAAATTCCCAGAAACCCATAGAAACACACAAACCCGTGGGGGAGATTCCCACAAAGGAAGCCCAAAGGGACACCGAAAGAAAAAGATGGGCACGTGTTCTTTTTTCTGGGAAAACCAAAGACTAGCCTTGGGTACGCTGCTACAAACATTGCCGGACGAAAGTCAGCTGATTCTGGGAACCCCCGGGGTTGTCGTTTTTTGGCGGGTGCCCTGTTTGGTTTGCTCGGGTTTGCGTTTTTGGTTTCAACCAGCGGCGCGACATAAAACTTGGATGTTCTTCGGCTTGGGCTTGGCCAAGCCATGGGAGGGTTGCAGTCGAACCATCTTGCGGGTTGATGCGTTTTTTGGGAGAGCCTTCTCCAAAATGGGTTTACAAGAGACCTCAGGGGTCCATTTCGAACAAAGTGCATGTCTCATTTTTTTTTTGCTGGGCGGCTTCCCGAAAAAAAAAAAAAAAAAAAAAAAGGAAAAAAGAAGAAAACAAAAACAAGGGTGGGGTGACTTGCACCCATGAACAAAACCCAATTCGGGGGGCTATGCTCACTGCAAACACTTGTGGAACCCGAAGAGGGGGTCCCCCAAAAGGACATTCCTCTACAAATGATTGTTAGTTGGGTGCCTTGCATCAGTCTGCAGCTGCCCTGCTTGCTCCTGCGGGAGTTTCCTTTCAAAAAGACTCAATATGTTCAAATGATAGTCAATCTGAATGATTCTACGAGGCAACAACGTCAAGTTCAATGCATAGTCATGCCAAAATATGGTTTCTTAGCCAATTGGCTCTCTCCACCCATGTCTACTCGCGAAAGCCAGCACTTACGCAAACCCAACCAACCCCTTTTACAGGTTCCCCGCCACGGGATGGAACGCTTGACTGACAGGACAAGGGCAGCGAATATTTCATGATCTCCCCCAAGGGCATCGTGAAGATCAGCCCCGGCAAGCAATCGGAGCACACCACGCTCACCAGCTGGCACCGAGTCAGCGATTTTGAGCGGCCGGTCGCAAGTGTGTGGGTCGCGGAATGCAACCAGACGTTTGGTTTTGGTTGGGGAAACGTCTGGGAAGGGCCAAGCCTGGAAAGGGTGGGGGGGAAGCCACAGGGGTCCCTTGGATGGACACCCAGCTTGACATCCCCCAAAGTACTTACACGGCGGTTCCCAGCGTCCCCTTAGATGCTTTTAGCTTTTTTGTTGGTTTAGTAGGGGTTTCCATAAATCTAACCCACCAAAAAATCAGCGTTTAGTAGGTACATGAGGTTCAGTGAGACAACAAGCGCATGAAATGTATATGATGGATGAGAAGGGACGAGCTTGAAACTTCAACTGCAAAACTTAGAGCCGGTTTGATCGTGGCTCACACGGGAGTACGTGTCATTGAGAGGTTGCCCAGACCTGCGTGTGGGGACCCGGGTTGGTTTGGGAGTGCATAATCGCCAGTCTTGTTTTGCCACGGATCTGAGAGCTCCTTGGGAAAGAGTTGGATGGTTTTGAGGGACATCAGGTCCTTTTTGAGAAGCACCAAACAGGCCCGAATGAAATACAGGCAGTCTATTCCGCCCGTTTGGGGGGACATGGGGCACTGTCTAGTGTCTCGTTGTGGGGTTTGTGGCCAAGCCACGAAGAACGACCGATTCAGAGTCGGTGCCGACACCCAGTGTTCCTTCATGTGCCTAGAAGTCACTAGCAGTCCCCAGATCGCACCGCGACACCGTTGAAAAATAGCCCCCTTTGGTTCGCGCTTTGGATTTGGGTGACATTTTGCAGATTGCGTTTGGCCCAGGTGAATCCAAATTTTGGTTACCTCCAAAAAGATGGCAGAACCCAGCGCTTCACATGAATCCAAGAGAGTTGAAGCTCAATGATTGGGAAGAACTGGAACTCATTCGCCGAATCTCGCAGGTGTCTGAGTGACTAAGGATGCATCAAGTCATGATCTACACGGCGCCTTGGTGGCACAAAGAGCTCTCAAAACGTGGGGCATGGCTTCGCCGGAGGCGGATCTCTGAATCCACGCAAGCGCTGCAAGGTGCCACACGAAAATAAAAAGAGCTAGTATGAAGCAGCTGGAATCCACGAAGAGCGCGTCCAAACGTTTTCAAAGCAAGGAGGACACTGGGAGTTTGCTGAATTGATTCATGCAGCCACCCTTCTTCCAGACAAAAGTGGGACAACAAAGAGTGGTGGTACATAACAGTTCCCTGGCATATACAAAACGGGGACGATCACGAACTGCTTGGTTTCGTTTTCTTTTTTGGCGCGGGCTGCTGTTTATACCACGAAACCTCTAAACGGCTGCACACATGTTCTCTGGGTGTTGTCAAAATCAGGGACTGTTTCCCTTCGAATGTTTTTCTTGGGGGGGACTTTGATGGCAAGAGGCCAGCATTGGCTCCTTTCAGCAAAGACTTAGCCATCACAGTGACAGTGGTCGAAATTTCAAGCAAGCTCATCACAGTGGTTGAAAACCTCCCGGTCGAACAACTCGCATGGGGCATGTATGTTTAAGGTGGGACACGTTTTTGTTGTCCTTTAACACCTCGAAAAAAAGGGGACACCCACAGCAGAACTTTGGCGACCCGAAACTAACCGCTTGGCTCCCGGCGGCCGAGAAAAGTGCTGCCCGACTCGTTGGAAACCCGCAGGGTTCCAATGCCAGGAAAGGCCTTGAAGTTGCACTCTGCACGCTCATGTGGGAGGAGACTTGAATTCCTTTTGGGGTCCCCTCCTTTGAAATTGCTGAAAGGCCTAAAACATCACCCATTTGCGGATTGCACCTGTTCCCTTGCTCTGTAGACCTTCAGGATTCCGGCGGGGCTTGATGCACAAAAAGCGTATCCAAACAGTAGCATGGAGAGAGGGTGTTTGTGTTCCAATCCAAACTGCCAAACTTCTACAAACAACAAGCGACCAAACCACCAATTGCTGCCAAACCTTTGTCTTGTTGTTCGTTTTCAATCCGCCAAACCAAATCACCAATGAGGGAAGTATGTCCGCCAAAGTTGAGAGGAATCAGCTCCGGTATCCCAAGAAGTGTTTGGTTTGCTTTGGGCTCTCCATTGAATCGGCGGAAGCATACCCTCTGAAACACAAGCAAGGTATATTGTACGGTACAAAGGGCAAACCAAATTTGTTTCACCATTTTCCAAGGGTCCTACTTCATGGCAAGAACGAATGAACGAGCATAGGTGTCCTTCTTGGTTGGCTTGCTTGGAAACAAATGGCCCGGTGAATAAACCAAAAGGTAAACCAGGAATCGCCAGAAAAAAATCAAACCAAAAAGAACATGAGAACGAGGTGCTGGTGTCTATGTCTTTCTTCCGGAACTACTTGACAGGCGCTTGCGCCGCAAGCCTTTTCTTGCGCCTCGCTGGTCTTTTTTGTTTTTTGGCCCTGGTGTCTCCATCAAGGTCCCCCGGTTGATCTCCGAAATGAAAACCCGAGGGTTCTTTTTCCTCAGAAATCCAAAAGACATTTCCATCCGATCCTCAAGCGAAACGGAGCCGGGGAAATCGGCGCATTTGGTTTCCAAAGGGTGAATCGACGGTTCAGAAATTATCACCTCAAACACAAGACCCCGTTTCAAGCATGTTTTCCCCTTTTGGCCCATTTGTGTTTCTAGCGAGAACGGGCCCGAAAAGTTTGCGGGCTCAACCTCAGAGCAGAAGTACAGCTTGAAGCAGACACCGAGTCCAACAAGACATCGGCGGAAAGGGGTCTGTTTGTGGGGGTCAGAGATCCAAGCAGTCGCTGGGTCCTTACCCTAAAGCGAGACAAAGACGGTAATTTCCTGAAGACCAAGCCCTATCGCCTTCCAAAGAAAAGTCGCCTCTGAAAAAAAGTTGTAGCCCAAGAGCCACGAGAGCCGTGAGTCCTTACCTTCGATCTGGTTCCTCTCTCATCAATCCTTTTGCAACTTGGTCAACGCTTTCCGGTTTGGGCGGGCGTCAAAATTCAGCTCGCCTCTTGGTGGTTGGATTGGTCGGCGGACATCCCAATCCAGACCAATCCAAACCACCAATTCCGGGAAGCTTGAAAACTAGAATTGGGTACCAACCCATGGGTTGTCTTCCTTTCCTTTGCAACCACACACACATGTCCCTTTCACGGGGTTCGCCAAAGAGGTGGCCAAAGAGTTGCCAATGGCAAGCAGAGCTCGCTGGCTTCATCTTTTCAGTTTTCCCAACTTTGGTTCTCAATACCATTGGTTTGGAGTTCCCAATGCCATTGAGAACGTACTGCCCTTCTCTCCCCTTTCTTTTTTTTGGTTTTGGGTTCCCCTAAGATAGACTACAGAAAAAAGGGTACCCTTACTCGAACCTCGCTACTGGAGGACCTAGACAACCAATACTCCAGAACCACTGTTAAGAAATTCTTGTGCATTGGTTCTCCTTTCTTTGGGGTCCAACATCGACAACTCTGAACCCTTTCTGCGTTGCTCGAGGCATCTCTTGGTCAGTTTTCAGGTTTTAAGGGAATCCGGCCTTCCTGACCGCAAGACGTGTTTCCCCAAACCTCTGCGATTTTCCCCAAGGCGCAAGCAAGCGTCTGATTTTGGGTCTGCTGAACCCCGTTGATCCGCTTCGGGTGATCAAAACCTCTCATTTTGCCGTTTCGACGTTTGCTATGGCTCCCAGAATTTCTAAAGGCCATGTTGTCGGATGCAAACAACCAAACATCTTTTGTCGCGTGTTCAGAGTTCGGATCGCGAGCCCTTTGCCGCCCGCAGCTGTTTGGCCTTGAGTTTAGTCGGTCCGGTCTCTCCGGTTTCGAGTCGCCATGTCGGGGGGCTACCAGAGCGGTGATCTGCCAGCTTTGAAGCTCGCTGCCTGTTGTTTTTCTTCTCTACATATATATATATATATATACACATGCCGTATGCGTGTATATACATAAATATATGTAAATATGGGTACATACATGTATGTGCACATACTGTGGATGGACGAAATCCTGCACCGCTTTGAAACCATGGTTGAAACCATGGCGTTTGTTGGTATTTGCAAGGGAATCGTCATTCCAGGGCTTCTGAGGTGGTACAGGATTTCGTCCATCCACAATGTATATATATATATATATCTATATTGCGCTTTTTTTTGCAAGCAGTTGTTTGTTTGATCGCCTTTTTGTGGCGGGGGGTAGCCTTGCTAGGTGCATCCTTTCTTTGGTGTGTGTTCTGTTTCCATTGATTTGATCGCCCTTAGTGCTGGCGAGCAGTACTGTGTATGTTGCCCCAACTACACACCTCTAGCACTGTTTGCTCGTCCAGACATGGTTTTCGCAACATATTCAATTGGCCCCATGTCTTAAGAAATGACCAACCAAGAATCAACTTCAGCCAACCAAGAAAGACACCATCCAACGGGCAGCTTGATCGTTTGGACAAGCTTATTTGTCCAAGTCACGATCGAGAAATCCCCCCTCCCTTTCTGAGGCAAGTTGTTTGGTTTGGCTGTTTGTTTCAGCCCACGGAAAACAACCTGGTGGCGTGCCCTAATCCGGGGTTGTCCGTTTAAGACAGCTGCGTTGGACAAAAATGCCAAGACTTTCTCCTCAAGCCCTTTTTCTTTGTGGCCACATAGAGGGAAGCAGCCCTTGCCGTTCAAACGACTTGGCCAAAACCAATGGACAGTACAAACGTGACGAGCAAAAACCACGGTATCCTGTTTCCTTTGTTTGGGGAAGGGGTTCCCTGTAAAATTCCTTCGCCAACACCGTGCCCATTCCCCATCAACCTGTAGAAGGGTACACCCGCGGTCTTTTGATCAACCTTTTGCTGAGGCCTGGTGCCGGGGTAGTCCCAACCAGACCCAAACCGAGGGGCCGCAAATACCTTTTACTTGCCTTTCTGATCCTCAAGTCCCCGTTCTCGACTTTTTCTGGCTGGTTCATTTGTGGGCTCCGCGCCCTTTTCTTTGTGCTTTTCCACCTGACGCCCCTTGTTTGGTCCCCGTTTTGTCAGCCTTTTGTTGTTCCACCTGCCTCTTTCCTTTTTCGCCCGGTTGGTGGGGACGGATTTGGATTTGAACTCTTGTAGAGGATAAATGGCAAACCCTTCCTTGACCACCAAACCGAGGCTGAATCAGGGTTTATGAGCAAGTAGCTCATCATTTTTGTTGTTGAATCAGACCCCCCCCTAATTCCTTCTTCCACCACCAAGCCACCCGAACCTCCAAACCACCAATCCAAACCTCAAATTTGCGATTAACCGACTGTTTCGTCTTTCTTTTCAAGGGACGCCACAATGCAAACCCACCGAGTCCCTTGAAAACCACCGATTTGTTTAAAAAGGACACCCACACATCTGATTAAACCTTCACCGAACCACCGAACCACCGGGCCTCGGGCCTCGGGCCTCGGGGCGTCGCCGCGTCGGCGTCCCCCGCAACCGAAGGAAGTGGCTGATCTTCGGCTGCGGCGGCGTGGGGGGCTACTTCGGCGCCCGCGTGGCGCAGGTGAAGGGCCAGAAGGTGAGCTACATCGTGGCTCGGAGGACGTGAATCGACGGGCGGTCTTTTTTGTTGTTGGAGGTTCCAAGGGGCGGGTCGGAGGGTCGGTTCCCTAGGCTTTTTTTAGTGGTTTTTAGTGGTTTTTACTGGTTTCTGGTGGTTTTTGGTTGGTTTGGTAGTTGGGTTTCCATTTAACCCGCTAAAAGTGAACAACTTTTGGTCTGGGGACTAGTGGCTTTTCACTTGGTGACCGTCGGATTTGTCATAGACTCCCTTAGCCTTCACGTGCCCAAGTCGGGCCGGGAGCCAGGCGGTGTCCTGTTTTGGGTCGCCACACATTTGTCGCGATGTGGGCGTGTCCTTTTGTGGAGGTGGTAAAGGACAACCCAAACTTACCGCTTAAAAACGCAAAACTTTTCAACTTTTTTTGGGTAACATGGGCTATATGTCTGTAAAAGATGAGAACTTCCCCAGGGCGCAGGGAGTTTTAAGGGGTAAGCAAAGGAAAACATGTCCTACACTGTCCTACCTTACATATATACATGCCCCATTTGGCGATTTGTTCGACTGGGAGGCTTTTGGTCATGCCAATGGGTGGTTCGGAGCCAGCGGATTCGTCCGGTTCAACTTCGGTTCCATTTAAGCCACTAAAAGTTGTTAGATGCAGGATGGGGATGCGTGGCTCGATTTTTCCAGGCCCTTGGTTACCCAAACGTCCAATTTGTTTAGAGACAACGCGTGTTCATGGACCTGGCTTTCCTTGAAAGGAGTAACCACACGGTATATTTGTTACTAGATGTGATGTTCCCTTCTTGTTTTGCTTTGCTCGCTTTCAGTGGGGGCAAGAATTACTTGTCCTTGGGAGTGCCAAATGGCCCTTTTCTTCGCAGGTGAAATGGGCGATTCGAATCCCCACATTGCTTTCTTTGGTTCGCTTTAGTGAGGCAACACTCCTGTTTGGTGGTTTGGATTGGGGCTGGATTCGGATTTGAAGCCCCGGTTCTTGTGGCTTGGGTTCCCTTTAGTCAGGCTTTTGGTGGTTTGGATGGGACTGGATTCGGAGTTGAAGCCCCGGTTCTTGTGGCTTGAGTTCCTTTTAGTCAGGTTTTTGGTGGTTTGGATTGGGGCTGGATTCGGATTTGAAGCCCCGGTTCTTGTGGCTTGGGTTCCTTTTAGTCGGGTTTTTGGTGGTTTGGATTGGGGACTGGATGCGGATTTGAAGCCCCGGTTCTTGTGGCTTGGGTTCCCTTTAGTCAGGCTTTTGGTGGTTTGATTGGGGACTGGATTTGGATGTGAAGCCCTGGTTCTTGGGGGTTGTGTTTGAAACCGCCCGGAACCCCAGGCTCCAAAGCAGCTAGTGGGAAGCGGATTTTGCGGCGAACTCTTGAGCGCCAACCTGGGATGGTTCCGGATCGAAAGCTGCACGGCGTCGCAGCTTTTCCAAGGTCCCGGGCCAAGCTTTTCCACCACGGGCTGTTTGAGGGGGATGGCCATAGCCGTCCTTTCGATCGGTGATCAGAAATAGATGGGTTCCACTGGTTGAGATGGGTTTGATTTCATGTACCAGGTCGACATCTGTTTTCCAAAGAGGAGACCTATGGCGATCAGTTCCGTTGGGTTGTTTCTTCGGGAGTTAGAAGGGTAGTTCCAAACCAACTGGAAAACTGCGAGCGACGGTTTGGGAGAGACAGACTCCGATGTCACAGGGTTTCGATCTTTGAGGACACAAGTTCATTTGGCTAGAATCCAGCGGTCCCTCTCCCTCTCCCTCCCTCTCTCTCCCTCCCTCCCTCTCTCTCTCTCTCTCTCTCTCTCTCTCTCTCTCTCTCTCTCTCTCTCTCTCTCTCTCTCTGTCTCTGTTTTCCCCCTTCAAGGCTGGTTTTGTGAACATCAGCTCTTTTTTGGAACGGCCAGTTGGACATTTTTTTGTCGCGTGTCTGTTTTTCTTTTAGCGGTTTGACGGTTTTTTGAGGTTGAACATCTAATTGGAGCCCTGCAACATGGGTGGCCTACTTTCAAGCTCCGGGTGGTGCCGTCCACAGGGAGCCCGGGAAAAAACTGCTGGGAATCCTCGATGCACCATTTGTCATCCGCCAACATGACGTAGCTTTTTGGCTTTCCTGCAAGGAAAGCCAAGCGGACACCCTTTTAAGCCTTCTTTGGCGAGGTAAGGGGAGAGCTCGAAACCAAGGTGCAGTGGGTTCTGTGCCCCTTTTTTTTGCCTCAACTTTCCGGTTTTGGGATTCCTATGGAGGTTTTGCCGTTTTCCCCTTTGGCCGACCTCGACCTTCGCCGGAGCCCTGGTTTCGACTCGCCGTCCGTCGGATGCGGTCCGAGTCGTCGGAGTCCGAGGTGCGGAACAAGGCGCTGGCGGCGCTGAAGGAGCACGGGGTCAAGATCACCTCCATCTGCGGGGACGTGCAGGCGGAAGTCGTCCTGAGTCGGGTGAGCGGAATTCGTCCGGGCCGTCGCTTTGTTTGGGCTGGGGGAAAAGGGGGGGATGGGAGATGGGAGGGGGGCTTCCAGGAGGTGTCGCCGTTGTTGGTTGGGGAGAGACGAGCATAAAACGGAGCATAAAGCGTGGAACCCACGCGCACTAGAATCAGCTTACGAGAGGAAGTGAGCCAAAGAGAAAGAGCCAAAGGGCCCACCGAATTGGGTACGCTTCTTTTTTGAGGCCCCTTTTTGGGAGAACCAAAAGGAGAACCAGCAAGGGGGTCCAACCTTAAAGAAGATATCCCCAATTAAATAATTATACGAGTTGTGCGTTCTGGTGGTTTTCTTTTCAAGGCCTTCGCAAGGGGATTGTCACAAGCCAATCGAACCCTGGCTCCTGAGATGGGGTCCACGCCCAAAACTCGTGGTAAAGAATCAAACGGCTTTCTTTCTTGCTTTCCGCCCTGTGACGGTTGGATCGTCGGTGGTAGAAGGACCCTTTCTTGTTTCTCTTGCGGCGTTCAGCTTTTTGAACGCATGACGGAGTTTCAACCGCTTTTTGTTGGTTTTTTGGTGTGTGTGTGTGTGTGTGCTCTTCATTTTGATGAGCCTTTAAACAAGGATCTCCTCCCGTGGTTGCGTTCGCTTCCCTTTACGTGGGGGGCCTGCAAAGAAGGGATGTCCAACCCCCCCCGCCCTGAGTCCCACTGCCGGGGGTATCTTATCCCAAAAGGGAACGGATACCTTGTGGTCGTAGAGGATCGTTTATGTGGTCCCTGGATCTATTCCGCAGGAAATCCAATACGTCAATATGGAGTATAAGAGAATGGATAGTCCCTGGTAGCTCTGATTACTGTGTTTCACTGTAAGCGGCCTGCAATAAGTCCTTTTTATGTAGCTATCGCATGAATGGTGCAATCTGTACAAGAAAGGGCCTTGAGCCAGACAATTGCATAGGTGTAAATCAAGCACAAAACAGACGCAAATTCTTTTGATCTTCAGCACTGAATTGCTAAGTAATTTCTGGCTTCTTGGCCTTCGGCCGTAGTCTTTGTTTTATGCCGTAGCCATATGTATATTGAAATTCTTGATTCATCCCTTTGCTGCGCGGATGAAAGTCTTGGTGACAACTGGAAAACGGTTTGTACTCTTGATGTGAGATACCTAGCTGTATCAAAACAAAATGCGAAACGCGCTGCACATGCAGGATCGATGTGAAACTATTGATCTCTCACTGAAAATAGTCTTGTCGTCGATGAGGATCAATTGGTCGTGATTCGTTGTGCCGTTTTCGTGTGAACTCTCGCAATCGAGCTTCTGAGAACCTTATTCCTAGCAAAACATGAAGACCAAAGGAGGTCAGGATGGTTGCCAAAGGAGGCAGTCGCAATAGCTTCTCATTTCTTGATTGACTGCCGTAATCGAAATCTCTCCAGGTCGAATCGCTGAAATGCTTCCATGTCTTCCATGCTGTCTCCTGTTTCTTGCCCTTGAGGAACTCCTTGGTCCAAGAGTCCGAGAATAGTTTCTCTCCCGATTTGCTCAATGGGCTGTGTGAATCGGAATCAGCGCTGCGCAAGTCCGCAACACGTAGCCAAAACGAAAACAAGTTTGCAGCACCTTGCGCTTGGCCATTCTGCAGTTTGCCACAGCTGACATCACTTAGCTGTGGGGCGCGCCAACCGTCATCCAGCGGCCTCACCCAGGTACCAAGAGCTGCAGGTCTGCTTGGCTTGCCTAGAAGCCCAGGAGAACAGATGCAGCCGAGGATGTGCATGATGTCCCTCACGGGTGACCAGCAGATGGTTGGGCCTGGCTCCGTTGGATTGGCCTTCCACGTGTCCCTCTCTGGGCATCCTGAGTTTTTTCACAAATACGATCATGTGGGAAAAGATTCCTTCAAGAAAGCTGGCGCCGCAGGTTCATCAGACAAGCCTATCCAGTTCTTGGACGGGTGCCGATTAATTGAAATTGTGCAGCAATTCAGACACGGTGGGAGCGGCAGTTTTGGCATCTCAGCCACCTCGTGCAAGGAAGAGACAAGCGCCTGGCAAGGCGAAAGGAAGTGCTTGTAGGCCTTGAGGTCATGAAGGCCACGTGCAAGAAACACAATCAAGGCCCTTTCCCAGATACGGCACATTGTGTAGCTTGACTGCAAAAGTCAATTGCTTGCAAGAAGTATTCATATGAGGGTAAAGTAAACCATTGTGTGGCAGCCACATTGTGTGGCCTCCTCCCGCCAAGGTATTTTGGGCAAGCTCTGAAGCAGAGCATTTCGCAGCTGGCAGTGAGGCTGCGGGCCCTGCACATGTACTGGAACAGAAACAATACCGAGTCTGCCTTCCGGAGTCGACGCTCTATTGCGGGTTGGGAAGGATGTCGAGAACTTGAGCCTGTCCGCTTTGACGGAAGGCGGGCGGCGCAAGCGCAGTCCAAGAGAAGGGCACGCTCTGCCCAGCAATCCCGGAGCCATGTGCAAGGTGACAGAGGCGAGGCAAAGAAGCTCCAAGAAGCAGAGGGTGTTGCTACGCAAATGACATCATGCCGAAACATTACCTACATCATGTCATTGACTGACGCACTGGGGCCTTTTGGGGCCACTGCGACTGAAGTGACTGAAGTGCAGCAATCCCACGCAGGTTATTTTTCTACCTGGTGGGCCAACGTCAGAGTCCGCAATCACTTTGCTCCCGTGCTGCGGCGCCAAGGTGCAACAAGCCTGGTTGAGTTTTATTCCCGCTTGCTATCTTGTGCAACATGCTGACTTTCCTATCTTTGCCAGATGAGCGATCAGGTGCGTTTGGCTTGGCATCATGGGTTTCCTTGTGCATTGCGTGGCTGCAGCCAGTTCGACAGGCCTGTGCAGGGATCAGTAGGGTGATTTCTTTTGAGAAGCTAAAAGCCACACTAGCCCTGTTCAGTCAGCGGTTGTGTTGTTCTTCCTCCGCCCGGTGAGAGCTGCGCAGTAGGCAAGGGCAAGGGGTTCGTGCGCCTGGCGCTCGCCACTGGCCGCAATTGTGTTCTGACTTGGGCTGCGTGGAAGGTTCAAGTACTACCTGCGAGGGGTGATAGCAGAGCAGAGGGGCTAACCATTCGACCCTGCACGGGCGACTGCTTCGAGGTACTTGCACATCCCCGGTATCATTTGCACCGGCCACTTTCAGACGGTAAAGCTGGATGACCCCGCTTTCCTTCACGAGGATTCTGCGCATGATCCAGCGACGGTGAAGCAGGCGTGGAGGCTGTCCACAGGGTCCCGAATCTTGAGCGGGCTTTTAGCAACCCTCCAATCGCCAAATGTCTCGCGTGCTTTGAGCAGAGACTGTTTGACCAATCCGACCAACAGCTTTCTTGGAAAGCGCTGGCAGCGGCTTCCATTTGCACTTGGCCTCCAACGAGCAATTTTGCATTTTGAACTGTGGTTGTGTCGTGTGGGTTTTTGGGGGTCCACATGCTGGCTCTAGGCTTATGTTTTTGGGGGCTCATGACCATGCCCGTGCCATTTCAGGCTTCGACTTGCCAACAGTTCTTGATTCATCAAGCACCGTGCTCAATGAAGGCTCAGTTCAGCTGCAGGTGTTCCGACACTTATGTGGCTGGGCTCGCGGCCGCCTGGCTGGTCTGGTGAACATCCCAAGTGATTCTGCCATGCAAGAGCAGTACAAGGCGCTGGTGCAGTGCTGGCGCCATGAGATTATCCCCGAAGTGTCTTTGCTGCATTCCCTGGATGAATTGTCTGAGGACGTATACTGGATCGTCCTCCTGGAGTGCAGCAGGAGGCCGCGCTCTGGCACCGGCGAACGCCAGGTTTCTCTGGTTTGCGTCAGGTATTGACTGTCGAAATTCTGGAGACTGCGCCGTGTGTACAGGCATCAGGTTTATGAAGGCTGCCTTCAATCTCATGAGAAGGATTTTGATGTGAATATGAGGAACTCCGTGTTGTGCCTCCTGTGATTGAAGAAACTGAGAAGCCTGTAAAGATACACGTTCGTGGTACCCTTCAGGAAGTACTGCATCAGCGTGTTCTTGAAATAGTAGACGGCCGTTCTGGAGGACTGCCTTGTACATGTAAGCGTCTCCGACGAGCCTTCTTTTGAGCAAAGGGCCTCGCTTGGATGGTTCCACCTGCGTGATGGTCACCCAGTTGCCCATAAGTTCTTCATATCTAAACCAACTGACTTTTCCGTCGTACGATGGCAGTTGCTTGACGGTCATCGATAAATTGAGTGTCTCTTCAGTTTAGCCGGATGATCGGGCTGTACTTGAATAGGCCTCCATGAAGCCTTCTCCATCGGATGACATTGCTTCAAACCCTTTGTGATGGAACCTTGGACCCGTTCCGGTTTCTCCGGTTTTGGTTTGGTTGGACCTCCACCAGGAACCACCGACCTCACCAAACCAAAAGTTCCGGCGCGCCGGGCCGGGGGCCGGCCGCTGGGAGGTGCCCGCCAGCGATCTGGGGCCCATCTTGGACTCCCAGGCGCTGGACAAGGATCGGTGCGGGAGTGGGAGCCTAGGGCTGATCGATCTGCAAACTCCCAGGGTGTGTCTTGTGTCTTTGTGTTTGTGTGTGTTTGTGTTTGTGTCTTTGTGTTTGTGTTTGTGTGTGTGTGCGTGTGTTTGTGTTTGTGTTTGTGTTTGTGTTTGTGTTTGCGTTTGCGTTTGCGTTTGCGTTTTTGTTTGTCTTTGTCTTTGTCTTTGTGTTTGTGTGTTTGTGTGTTTGTGTGTTTGTGTGTTTGCGTGTTTGTGTGTTTGTGTTTGTGTTTGTGTTTGTGTTTGTGTTTGTGCTTGTGTTTGTATTTGTGTGTGTGTGTGTGGTGTGTGTGTGTGTGTTTGGGTGTGTGTGTGTGTGTGTGTGTTTGTGTTCGTGTTTGTGTTTGTGTTTGTGGTTGTGTGTGTTTGTGTTTGTGTTTGTGTTTGTGTGTGTGTGTGTGTGTGTTTGTGTTTGTGTTTGTGTTTGTCTTTGTGTTTGTGTGTTTGTGTGTGTGTGTCTTTGTGTTTGTGTGTGTGTCTTTGTGTTTGTGTTTGTGTTTGTGTTTGTGTTTGTGTGTGTGTGTGTTTGTGTTTGTGTTTGTGTTTGTGTTTCTGTGTGTGCGTTTTTGTGTTTGGGTTTGTGTTTGTGTTTGTCTTTGTCTTTGTGTTTGTGTTTGTGCTTGTGTGTGTGTGTGTTTGTGTTTGTGTTTGTGTTTTGTGTTTTGTGTTTTGTGTGTTTGTGGTCGGTTTTTGGTGTTTAGTGTTTGGTGTTGGTGTTTGGTGTTTGTGTTTGTGTTTGTGTTTGTGCTCGTGCTTGTGTTTGTGCTTGTGCTTGTGTTTGTGTTTGTGTTTGTGTTTGTGTTTTTGTGTGTGTTTGTGTTTGTGTTTGTGTTTGTGTTTGTGTTTGAGTTTGAGTTTGTGTTTGTGTTTGTGTTTGTGTGTGTGTTTGTGTGTGTGTGTGTTTGTTTGTTTGTTTGTTTGTTTGTTTGTTTGTTTGTTTGTTGTTTGTTTGGGTTGAAAGTTTGTGGAGGTCCATGTTGCCAAATATTAGACACGTACATATGTCTCTCTCTCTCTCTCTCTCTCTCTCTCTCTCTCTCTCTCTCTCTCTCTCTCTCTTTATATATATGCACATACATACATATACATATACACATACAATATACATACGCAGGTGCACATGCACATAAGCGCCACATTCGCCTGACGGACCAAACAAATCGCAGACAAATCAGGAGGAGCGCTTCGTGGCGGACGTGATCATGCTGGGCTGCAAGGCCTGGGAGGCCGCGGACTGCCTCAAGGCCTGCGAGCCCTGGTGTGGGCCCAACACCCTGGTGCTGCCCCTCCAGCGCCTCCGTCGATAAGCGTCCGGTCGCGGAGGTGGGGAGGTCGAGTCAAACGTCCGAGGTGTCATTTGCTCTTTTTTGTTTATATCCCTTGTTGGTCTTAAAAGGAGTTCATCACTACTGTTTTTTTCTTCCCCCAGTAAATGGAAGCATAGGTGTCCTTTTTTGGTGGTTTTGCTAAAGAAATAGAGGGCGATTCCTGGTTTACCTGGTGGTTTAATCATCTACGGGGCCATCTATTTCCCCGAAAAGGGCACCTATGCTAGGTGTCCTTTTGATCGGTTAGTTTGGTTGAAAATAGAGGGGTTCCACTGGTTTAGGTGGGGGTCATTCCATTTACCAGGGAAACCCATCTACTTTTCCAAAAGGCCAACCATGAACATCCGGCGGTTCAAAGAACTTGGAAGGGAGCCATGGGAATCGGACAGGTGCTGCAGGATGAGTCTTGTGTGTGTGTGTGTGTCTTCTCTTCCTTTTTTTGTGTGGTTTCTTCGGTTGCTCGGTGCTTTTCTTTGAAGTGTGTGGTTTCTCCTGTTTTTGTTGTGGTTTCTACTGTAAGACATGATTTTCAGATTATTCAGATGATTTTCAGATTGGGTTAGGTTTTTGTTTGGGTAGTTGACTCGTGGGCTGGTTGGTGAGTTTGGTTTGTGTTTCCCCGCAGACTGATGTGGCAAAAGAATGGTTTTGACTTTCCAACACCACACCACGGTATACCCGGAGTGTACCCGCCTCTTTGGGTGCCTTATTTTCCTGAGCTCTTAGCGTTCTGGGGTTCTTGTCATGCGGGCATGGGTCAAAATTCGACTAGCAAGGGACCGCAGGTTTTCGTCTATGTTTCCGTGTACCAGGGTTCCATTTTGGGTACCTATGTTTGACCCACAGCCATCTTGGGTCTCTTGAAAGACAGGTGCCTTTGGAAATGAGGGCTTTGGTGGGGAGTAATCAAAGGGCACCCACATAGGAACCAAAAAGGATGCTGGGGTCATAGATTTCGATGCCTTACCGTAGCTTGCGATTTTTGTGAGACAGGCGGAGCTGGGGGTCCATTTTCCATTTCAGGGTGGGTTATATATCCAGGCTGGAATGTCGTCCTGGCTTCCTTCTTTAAAACAAGCAACATGTCCTAGTTGCAAGTCATCCTCGCAGTCCAGGTAGCATCTCCGTTGTGGATCCAACAGCAAAGCGGTGTTCAGAGGGAAACCACCAAGCCAACGCGGAGGTGATCGCCCCATTTTTCCCATAACTCAGGTTTCCTCTGTAAAAGCAGGAGGGGTACTCTCCCACCATCGCCCATTTGTTGGGCGTCCTGCGACGCGGGTCAGTCCGACCTCCCGGTGAAAGCTGCGGCTTCCCTTGGAACAATCCTCACGGCAGGTCCGTTTGACAAAGATGGGGTTTGGTGAATCTTCAAGACGCCCAGCCAGAAGGAATTTATTTGAAGGGAATTTTCTTTGGAGATCCAGCTGCTTCTCCCTCATTTTGAGCAACACCCTGTTGCTTCCCTCTGAAAACAACCTCAAAACAGGTTCCATCCAAAAAACAAAGGAGGGCGCAGGGGCACACTCCAACAAGAAGCAGGGGTACTCTGCTCAAAGGAGAGGCGCAAACACCTACTCCAAATACCTTTGTTATTCTGGGTATGATGTCGACCCCTGACTGAACATGGAGGTATTTATCGTTAAAAGCCAGCATCTACCGTATTGGGAGTAGGGGGTACACCCATCTGGGCTAGAAAGCCCAGAAAACCGCCATCTTCGGAGCTCCGATGCGAGGAACGGTGTGGAGGGCCTGTCCAACATCAAGGACATCGTGGGTTCCTGGGGCAAGGGCCATGCGCTGGCAGGCGGTTTCGCGTGGGACGGGAGGGGAGGGCCATGTGAGCCACGTTCTCAAAGCCCGGGTAGATGAAGGTTGGTAAGGGACAATCCCCTTGCCACAAATAGCTGTGGATATCCGCCTTCTTAACAGTTCTGGGTCGCCCATTTTTGTACCGGGTATTGGTTATGACTCATTGTGGGGATGTTGTTGAGCAAAGAGCTGGGTGAGGCCGACATGAAACTTCCACCATGTTGGGTCCGAACCCGGGACCCCGCTGCTGGTTTCATCGTCAGATTCAAGCAAGGCCTGAGCTGTTGCAACCTCATTGTACTATCCAACACCGTCTGCCACGACTTTGCATGGCCCCACCCCACCCATCCCACCAAAAAAAACACATGCACATCCCTTCCCAATCCCCATCCTCATCCCACCCAACACCCCCATGCCCACCCCAGGCCCCACCCTCATCCCCACTTCCCCCCACTTCCCAGCCCAAACTTCTGCATCTCACCGGCGCAGGCTGCTGCAACATCGTCTCGGCCATCGCGGAGCCCGGGCACATCCGGCACTGGGCCGCCAACCCCCCGCCCGGGCCTCGACGGCCTCGACGGCCTCGGCGTCGGGGTGTCGAGGTGTCGGGTCACCTCTGAGAGACCCGCCCCAAAGGGGCGTGGCTTGAAAAAGGGGTTAAAAACCAACCCAAACACCCCAAAAAGGGTGCAAACAAGCAAAAACCACACAGCCACACACACAACAAAGACAAGCGGGTTGCCGAAGAATTCTTGACTTGTGGATTTCGGGGGGTCGATCAAACCCTGGAAGAGCAAATGTGCTCTTCAGCATCAATGGGGTTGCTTGACGCAATACGGGAAGCCTATGGTTTATCCAACCCATGTACCTGGGGTTGGGGACAGACCTCGGGACTTCACCCCAAAAGAACCCAGAAGGATTCCTGGGGAATCCCGGGCTTCCCGGCTCCGGAGTAAAAGGGCGGTGGCCTTTTTGAGACGACGGGGGCCAGGGGACGTGAAATGACGCCGCTTCAGGTACATCACCTTCGGAGAGTTCACCGGAGAGCCCACCGAGCGCACCAAGCAGGCGAGGGGTCTGTGTGGGTGCACGCGTGTTTTTTTTTCTTCCTTGTTTTTTCTGGCTTTCGCGTGGAAACGCCACCCCCCAAAAAAGGGAGGGGGGGAAGGGGGGTTCCCATGGTTTTCTCTTGGTTGCCATGGAAAGATCAATCAACAAGTGATTCTGGGGTTGTGGATTGGGGCAGCTTAGGGCGCTTTTGGCTTGGGATGAGGGGTGGATCTGGCGTTAAGGGCACAGGTTTCGCACGGCAGGATTCCTTGCTCCCAAGGAAAGATTCCTCAAACACATGTTCTTGTCAGTTTTATCTGGCGGTTTGTTTGCTTGCTTGTTTTGGTCTGCCTTGTCCCGCCTTGTCTTGTCTTGCTTCGTCATGTCCGTCCGTTTGTCTGTCTCCCTGTCTGCCTGGCAGTCTGTCTGTTCGTTTGTTCGTTCGTTTTGCTTGGGGTCCTCCTGTCAATGTTCTTTTCAGGGCAATTCACCAAGCCACCCAAAAAGAAAAACCAAATCAACTCAACAAAAGGGTTTCGTAGTTTCCGGTTCTATCTTCCCGTGGAAACGGCCTGGTTCGATGGGGCATCTTTTCGATGGGGGATCGATTTCTGATCCAACATTTTTTTCTGGGCCATCTGAAAGTTCTCTCCAGGATTTTCGCCAAACCACACACACACAAAAAAAGGCCTGAGGTGCCTGCGGAGAATTTCCTGATGGGATGGGTGTGTCTTAGAATAGAGGATGTTCAAGGCCCGAAGTGGCAGGTTTCTCATATGGCTTAGCCCAAACAACAAAAATATTCGAAACTCAGTTTCCTTAGTGCCTCTAACCCCACCCCCATAGCGCCCACCACACAAAAGGGCCACATTCGACGTATCCCATGGATTGGACACTTCTCACAAAGCTTTTGGCCAAGACTTCCGGGTTGGCGCCCCTGAAAACCGAGCCGGTGGCCCAAAAATGGCGGTGGTGGTCACCAATGGCATCCCATTTTGGTGGGGATGGGTGAATTCACCGCCCATTTTGGTCTATGTCAGTGGGGATTGGGATGTAACCGGGATTTTGACCCATGGTGGCAAACAGGGTGGCACCCATGTTAGAACCTATTCTAGTGGTTGGGTTGAATCGGATGTTGGGGGCTCGATTGGGATTTGGACCAAATCCGCCGCCAGCGAATGGGCCAGGTGAAGGCCGTTTTTGACGCTGCGCCCGGCATGGAGGGCCATCTGGAGGCGGATGCGCTGGCCAAGATCTGGGAGAAGCGCCTCCGGCGAATGGGAGCGAGCCCGAGCGAGCGCGGGCAGAAGGGGGGTGTGTGCAAGAGGATCTCGGTCGGTGGGTGGGTGGGGTGGGTGGGTGGGTTGGGTTGGGTTGGGTTGGGTTGGGTTGGGTTGGGTTGCGTTGGGTTGCGTTGGGTTGGGTTGGGTTGGGTTGGGTTGGGTTGGGTTGGGTTGGGTTGGGTGGGTTGGGTTGGGTTGGGTGGGGTGGGTGGGTGGGTGGGTTGGGTGGGTGGGTGGGTGAATATTTCTCGGGATAAGAATCGGTCCTCTGCAATGGCAGCAGTTTCCTAAATGCCAACCAAATGAACCCCATTTTGAGAAACGCCCAGGTGGTCTAACATCACGTGTAAAAGTGAGAGCTTCATTTTGAAATCCATCAAATTACAGTAGGGACTCGTTCTGAATCGGTTTTGGGGACCCATGGACCTCAGATAACAGCAGGGAGATCGCGAGACAAGCAGCTGCCAACTTGGGTGGGCGCTTTAAGTTCGCCATCCGTCGGTGTGGTTCATGAGCTTGTGTTGGACCCTGGGCTGACGAAAATCCAGAGGTCAAGTCGCAGGCTTTTGTTTTTTCCCCCGCGGGCTTGCCCCTACGAGTGCTTTCTTGCCCGATGCTTCGTAGAATGCTTTGGCAGGAATGCAATTTACATTTGCCGATTCTTTGCTGAGCTTGGCAGGATCCCTCGGATTTCAGCCGATTCCAAGTAGACAGCCTATGGCCGCCACATGTAAGCTATTCTACGTGTAGAAACAGACACACATAGAAATATCATGGGGGCTTTCTACCCCCGAAACCTTCCCCCCCAAGCCCAAGCCAGGAGAAAGTTTGCCGTGGCTTGCGCCGGAGGTTTTGCTTCATCTGCTCCACCACGGCGGTGCAGGCCACCACCGGCCCCCACGCCACCCAGGCGACTCGGAATTCGAATCGCCCCGAACCGCCCCGAATCGCCGCGCGCCCGCGCGAGCTCGGAGCGGGATGTGTGCTTGGCGTGGCGTGGTCGGGTTCCTGGTGGCTTCCCGAGAAAAAAAGGGAAAAGAAGAAGGAGAAGACCAACCGGGTGTTGATTAAAACCAACTCAAAGACTTGTTCGAGCCGAACAAACAAAAAAAGAAGCGAGCAAGCGAAGAAAGGAGCAAAGAGCTTCCCCTTTTGTTCACACCAACGCTGGTTTTGCTTTGGGAAACTGAAATGGGGCGTTTGGAAGGGGAGGAAGCAACCTTGTTGCCCCTCCATGTTTGGGCAGGGGAACGACTAGGTGTGTGCCTGGGTTTGATCGTCAAGAGCCCAAGCTCGGTGTTTCTTGAGGATGCTCCTTGGCCGCTTTTTGGCATGATAAATTGTTTTAAGAATAATAACCCACTACGGAAATGTATTTTGTGCTTCGCATAATTTCTCAACAAAATTAACGTATATAATCTCGACACCATATCATGTGTTCAAAATCAATTCCAAAATATGTCTGCAACAAATTCTGCTTGGGCTTGGGTACACGTTGCAAAATCTCTTTGGATTCTGACAACCACATTTAGCGAACCTAGCAATACACCATAATTTCAAAGGAGACTATATACCCCAAATTTAAAGAAGGGAACCGACAGCCAACAGCCAACAGCCAACAGCCAATTCGACCCGCGAAGGCCAGAGGGGTCCGGTCGCATTTAAATTTGCACTCTCTCTTCTAGTGCAATTCCAAGGTGGGAAGAAGGACTTCTCATTTTTGCAGGGGTCATACACAAATATGAGAAGGTCACGCGAGGGCCAAACATAAGGTTTGCCAAAGCAGAGGTTTACCAAACCAGAATTTTGAACGAGAGCACGTTTCCGGGGACCAACAATTGTATAGTTTCGGGCAGCCACAGAAAGTCTTTCCAGTAAAGCACAAATCCAAAAACCACGGCCAACAGCAAAGGGATCGTTTCTTTGAGGTCTTTCTGGACAGGAATCCTCCAAGAATTGAGATGCCCTTTACGGTTTGTGGGGGGCGAGATTTCGCTGATTTGGTGGTTCAGGAATCGTGCCCGCTTTTTCAGGTTTGGATTGGCATTTGAATTTTGGTTCTTGAAACGGAAAACCAGCCAACCCCCACGCCAAAAACTTCCAAACCGATTCGGCTCCAAACCATCAGACCGTCCCCTCGGGGACTGGTTGCTAGGGTGGGGCTATTGGTTTGAGCATGCTTCAACCATTGGTGATGACGATTTCTTGGAAAGCTGGTGTTTAAACTTTAGAAAGCTGATTTCTTGGAAAGCTGATTTCTTGGAAACCTATTTTTCGCCCCACCCTGTTTGCCACCCGGCCATGGGTCAAAATCCCGGTTATCCCCCGGTGAACATCCCAACCCCCACTGACATAGACCAAAATGGATGGTGCATTCACCCATCCCCACCAAAATGGGATCCCAAAACCGTTTTGACCACCGCCACCTGACCTGAGCCCGAAAACGAGGACGTGATCCCCCAGATCCCGGAGCTCTGCACCACCTGGCGGGCCGCCATGTGCGAGATCATCGCCCTGTGCCACAGCTACGGCGCCCTGGACTTTTTGGTGCTGGGGGGGAGGGGGGTTCGGGGTTCTTCTGGGGTTGCCTGGGAATTTCCAGGGAGGGTGGAGGGTTAGGGCTTGTTAGGGGTTTGTAGGGTTGTTTTTTGGGGTTTAATTTGGGAGTTGGTGGAGTTTCTTGGAGGTTCTCAGGGTGTCGTCAGTGCGTCTTCCGGTTTCTTCATCGTGTTCTGGGTTCGTTGGCTTCCCATTCCTCAAGTGCAGGAGGTCCGAAAATCCGGCGGACTCGTCCAGCGACCAAGCGACAAGGCCCATTTCTCGTCGGAGGCGCGCTTGCCCATTTCTGGCCAAGGAGATGGCTCGATTTTGGTTCCCCTGCAAAACCATTGATTGGGGTCCCCCCCAATCAAACGAGATCCAAATGTTCCTTTTAAGTTTTGAGAAGCCTGTTTGAGTTGAAACAGGTTCCCGCCAGGGCGCGAACAATGGGTGTTCCCCAAAATAGGAGATCCCCTTGTTGGATGGTTTTGAACCTGGATCCATCTTGGCAAAGCCTTGTCTTCTCCACGGATCCATACCTTGTTTTCCCAAGTGCCCGATGTCAAAGAGGGTGCTCCATCTCCTTTCTATTTTCCTTTCCCCATCTCCTTTCCATTTCCTTTCCATGTCTTTTCCATCTCCTTTCTACATGCTTTCCGTTTCCGTTCCCTAGTTGTTTTTTCGTTGTGGGAATTTTCATTTCTTTGGTTGCGGGCTGGAATGTTGTTTCTTGCCGCGGTTTCAGCGTTCTCTGTCCCGATGTCATGCTTTCACACGGGAAAGCATCTATGTCCAAAACTGATTCAGAGCCATGGCAAGTGGAACCATCACAGCCAGTAGTATTAGAGCAAGTGGATCCCTCAGAGCTACCAGGAATAATGGGCAATTCATAGTGACTCAGGTCATCCTCAACTGGTTTGGATTGGATCGGCTTGGGGCTTTGAACTCCAGCTCCTTCGAAGGAAGGGCCAAGGTGCTCCACACCAGCCATTCGCTCCCGCGGCTCGCAGCCCATAGCTCTGTGCTTTCCCTGCTAAGAACCTTGAGAAGGGTACCAAGCTTCCAAAAAGCACGGACCTAAATCACTGGACGTGTGAAGCGTGCCAAGTTCTGACTGCCAGAGGCCTTTTGTTGGGAATGGTTTGGAGGAGGTAAGCTTAGAATTTCTCTGTGCTAAATAGTGGTTGGTGCTAGGTGTATTTTTTGGCGTGGCTTGCTCGCTTTTTGTGTGGGATACCTTGTTGGGGTGGTGCCAAACGGAAATGAACAACACCTACATCTATTTATATTTTTGTTTTGGGGGGGTCCCCCTATTTTAGCACATGCCCATGTACGTGCTAAACATCGCAACGGGGAATCTGTGGCATAACCGGGTGCCAAACTGCAGCTATTTCTAAGTTTGCCGAGAGGCAAAGAGAAAGCGGCTGAGTAGTTGGCAACTTTTTCCGGAGCTATGGCTTTCGCACCCAGAAATTCGATCATGTTGCTTTGGGGTCGGCCCTGCAATCCTTGGGTTCAAGGGCACTCAGAGATCACGCCGGAAAACACGGGGGGGGGTGGGGGTCGTGCATTTTGTCCCAGACCAAACACTTTGCTTTTTTGGAGCAACAAAGGGTTGGAGCCAACAAGCTTTTTCCTGGCTTTTCCTTCCAAAAAACGCGTTTCGCTTCTTGCCAACGCTTTTTTCCCCACCAAAGTTGGTCCAAGCGTCGTTGGCTTTTTGGAGTTTTTCGGCCAAACTGAGCGGTCGAGAGTAAAAACTCGAGGCATCGCCTACGAGATGGAGCAGCTAGAGAAGCGCGTGGAGGCGAGGCCCTTTGGCTTGGCTGGGCTTGGCAACCGAGTTCCGAGCGGAGTTGGAGTTGGTTTGGTTAAGACACGAGTTGTGGGTCGCATGGGCAAAAACTGAAAAACTGTCCGAAGAGCTTTCTTGAAAGCTTGAGAACCAAACTTGGTTCACTCTTATAGGAAAAGCTCTAGTTTGGGTTCTTTATTTGTTTGGACCCCCCTTTCCACTGCAAAATATGCGGTCTTGAGTCTTTTTCAGGGACCCACCAAACCAATGGTCTCTTTGGCTCTGTTTGACGTTTTTTTTTGGGGGGGGGAGAGCGGGGAGTGTTTGGGAGGATCCCCTTCAGGGGGGTTGGGAGTGCCGGTTTTTTCAGTTTGATTCTCCGGAGATCATTTTTTGGGGGGGTGGGGAAGTCAAGGTTTGAGATGGTAAAAGAGGAGCTTGGAGGGGAAATGCGAAAAGGAGCGAGAGGGCGAGGAAAAGTGTCTTTGCAACCAGAGGCGAGAGATTCCCGTGCGGAGAGCACCTCTCTTGGACCTCTCTTGGAGGTGTTCAAGGGGCGACCCGAGGGTGACATGAGCCACGTGCTCAAAACCGATTCGGGTAGATGATCCGGTTAGAAAGGGGCAGTCCCAGCTAGAAATAGCTGCGGGAATCCGCCTTCTTAATTCTTTTTTAGCATGGTTCTGGATTCCGACCATTTTAATGCCGGGCTGTGAGCAAGTGACTCACATGCTTTGCCTGGCCGTTTTTTTCCTTTTTTTTTTTCTTTTCTTCGCCCCTTTTTCGATCAGCAAACGGCGGGGTTTCAGGGGGCTTGCGCCAAAGATGGGGTGATATGACACGAGATGGCTGTGGTTGTCAAAACCAATAGGATCCCACTTTGGGGTAGGTGCACCACCCATGTTAGTCTATTTTAGTGGTTGGATTGGGATGTTCACTGGGGGTACGATTTGGCTTTTGACCCATGGCCAGATGATTCCAAGTATTTTTCGGCCAAGAGCGCTATGTCCTGGCCGGTTCCGGCCTTTCAAAGCCATGGGCATTCTAGGTTCATTTGATAAGGATTGATGGCGTCCGCTGGTTTAGTTTGGCATTCCATTTGCCAGGGCTATCTTTTTTTTTTTTAGTTTTCCCCCCCCCCCCCCAAAAGGACACCTATGTTCAAAACCCTTTTTGGGTGTAGGTGGGGTTCCGGAACCACTCAAACAAGAGTCCACCCGGAAAGAAGACGACGCGGTTCTCCGGTTTTTGCACCAAGAGCCTTTTTTGGCACTTTGCGAAGTGCCAACCGGCCGGTTGGCACTTGGACCAAGCAAAGTGAACTTCAGATGTGTCCGGGGGCTCTAATTCTCCGAAGTTGACAACTTATGGCTTCCAACAAAAAATGAGCGGAACAATTGCGGGAGATTTGGTGGATGAATTGGATCAAGGATTTCCTCGAGGAATAAATCCATGAGCTGGCATGATGCCCCCAGCGGATTGGTCAACGAACCACTAGTTTTTGGCAGGACAAGTAGTTCCTGCTGTGGATGTAAGAAACCCTCGAATGATGATTCCCCTGCACTAGAGTGATGATTTCCCTGTAATTAAATACCAACAAACAGTATTCTCCATGGTTTCAAAGTGGTGCAAGATTTCGTCCATCGACCGTAGGGCTTGTCTCGTTGTTCCATTCCTGGATTGCCCCGGGGCAGCTTTAAACGCAGGATTTGCCTTCCGTTTTAACGGGGAGTAACCAAGCGCGAGTCATCAGGCCCCTAGCCACCAGAACGGTTCTCAGAACCCTTCGATCAGGGGCCATGGAGCACCAAAAAGCATCCACTTCTTCCATTTGTTTTGGGGGTTCCAACTCCCCTTCTTGAACCTTTCTTTGGGGAGTTCAGCCTCTCAAAAGCTTCGGTGTAGCTGGACTCCAGCGTTTTGGGGCGATCGGCGAGGCGCTGACGGCTGCGGTGGGCGCCACTACCAGCTGCAGCCGGGACCTGTGGAACGGCAAGCCCTCGGAGGCGCGCGTTACATCCGGAGATCGGGTGGCGCGCGTTGGGAGGAAAAGTGTCGAGTGTGGTTCCTTCCCCCCCGATTTCTTTTGAGGGGGACTGCGCTCATTTTTCTTATTTTTTTGAAAGGGGGGTCCTTTTTCCGATTCTTTTTGGGGCAGGTTTCAGTTGGTAGCGCCGTGACGCGGCGAGGTTTGAATGTCATGCAACCCTCATCGGGGCAAATCTGGCTCTGCACAAATAAAGCTTGTCCCTATAATATTTCACACAAGTGGAGACCCAGTCTTGCCACGCAACCCGAACGATGCCTGGTGGCTTCGTGGTTTCCCTTCGATGTAATGAGAAGTGGGGGGGCCTCTATTCTGAGAAGTTCCTACAATATTTTGGGCCAGCAGGACATTTACCTCTAGGTTTCTACATGCGAGGTTTTGACCTCGCGATTTTCCCTGGTTCCGTGAGGCAACTGGTCTGGGAGTCCCTCTTTGTAGCAGGCATTCCAAGTTGACCCGGCCCAGGGGTTGAATGGAAAGTCAAAGTGGTTTCAGTTTGGTCCCTTGATTGCTATCGGGTTGGATCTTTCGACTTCAAGGGTTTTCCGCTGAACCCACAAAAAGGTTGACTTTGGCAGAGGGGGTCAACAGCAACCGAGCTTCATGTGGGATATGGGTCAAAATGCAAACAGACCGCAGAGTTTAGTCCTTGGTTCCATTGACCAGTTCACCATTTTCGAACCCACGGCCATGTGTCATTTGCCAGTGGAATCGATGTTAACTTGTTTCACAGGATTGTGATGGTTTCAGTGCGGTTGCTTTTTTTTGTCTCGACTGGAAAGTCCAATGCGGATAGGGATGGTCAACGCTTTGAACAAGTTAAAACGTCGTTGTACATGTTTCATGTTTCTAGAGAACCATGACCATAGCCTTCATCTAAGTGGCAATCACACAGTTGCTGTCATCGCGAAATGTGGTGAAGTACCGCAGAGCCCCGCTCTAATTGTTTTGAGCCTTTTGTTATAAAGGTCTACATAATTGGAGCGGGGCTCCGGGGCACTCAAAAAACGTACTTAGTCATGATAGGGGACGACTAGTATTTACTTTGCCCCCTTATATACCACTAGGTCCCCCAGTAGTGCCCTTTCTCACCCCTTTTTGGGGAGGGTTCGCCTACTAAAATAGACTACAGAAGAAGGTTGATACCCTTATTTTAACCTCTCTACTGGAGGACCTAAACCAACTAGGCAAATCGCCCACATGTTTTAGTCCCTAGTCGTAATTCAAAGCATGACATGGTTGTTGTTGGGACATATTTTACATTTTTGCTTATTGTGGTTTAGTGGTTGAAATCGCTAAAAATTAAATGTGTGCTCCCCAAACCCAACGTCAACCATGACCCCATGGCTCGCCACTGAGCCATCGCGACCCCATGAAACCCGAGGTGGACGACTTGCTGGGCTCGGTGGTGCGTATGGGCAAGGACTCGTCCGAAACCGTGGCTCTGGAGTCCCCTCGGTGCACTTTCCGACGGAGAATTCGCCAAGAGGTGGCTCAAGTCTTTTCTAGTTCCCCAAACTGGAGTGGCCTTGGATTGAACGGCTGGAGCCGCAATGGCACGCCCAAGCCAACATGATTCTGGATTTGGGGCTTGACTGCGTATGAGACGCATAGGGAATGTTCGTCCCATTGGGCCTTTCGGGGCCTTTCGAAAACCAGACTGGACCAATGCGGTGAGTTGTGGTCACCAAAGGACACCAGGAGGTTGAACTGAGGCTCCTGCCTTGGTTCTGGATAGGTTTTCATCGGAAGCAAGCAACCTGACTTGCTGTCCTTTTTCCAGAGAGATCCAAATTGGAACTTAGCAAATCGGCTTCCATCCAACATAAGGGGGCTTCCAGCCAATGGGCGGGTCGTGTTCGCCAGCATCTCAGGAGCAAAAGGTCCCGGTTCCCACCATCTCCGCTTGCTACGGCGCCTTGGCGTCGGGGTTTTCAGTGGACAAGGCGGTGGTTTGTGCGACGGGCGTGCTTCCTCAAGCAACTTCCTCAACCAACCCCACCGGACTGCTCAGTCGGGGTGTGTCCTTGTTGAGTTTTTTTTTTTTTTAAGGTGGGGTGGTCCAAAAAAGGGGGTTCGCTAAGGAACCCTAAGGAACCCGAAAGGGGATCTCAATACCTGCCCCCTCCTGGGGATTCCACAATTCTTACCCTAGCCCAGTGCATCCCAGTTACTACTGTAACGGGTAGCCAGCTATTGTCCTTTTAGTTTGTAAATGGTGGCAAGCCCTTGGTCGCCTCTAGAGGGAAATGGAACCGCAGGGCTCGTCTGAAAATAGGGACGACCTCCAAAACGGATTTCGTTTTTGCTTTTCTGTCGACCCTTGGTCCAACCAAAAATTGGCTCAAGCTGGTGTCCCCTGGTCCAAAACGAGGATTTCGTTTCGCTTTTCCGGACAATTCTTTTCGAGGCACGCTGATCATGCGGGACCGCCTGGCGCGGGGCGTGGAGCTGCCTGGGGTGAAGTGCCCGGAGAAGGGCCACCGTATCCTGGGCCCCGCCTGGGGCAAGCCCCAGGACTAGCCCGAGGGGCTCGAGATTTTCAGCTGAAGGGGTGCAAGGTTGCCAGTGGGTCAAACACATGGTTTTTTTTTGTTTGGAAGAACGCGCTCGCAAGGATCTCACTTTGTTTCTACCACTTTGCAGTGGTTTCCCCCTGATTTCTCGTTCGGTTGGCGTTTTTTCGCGCATGTTTCGGCTTTTGGTGTTTTTGTTTCCTTCCTTTTTTGTATATGTTTTTGTTCGCTGAAGGACTTTTTTTGAGCTGAAGGCTTGCTGAGTTATAGTCCCCGCAGCAAACAAATAAAAACCTTTTCTCACTTCACTGGTTGCTCAAGTGTATTCTGCTCTCGAGCCCAGTGTTCCAAACCGAACGCGGTTTGCTTTTGATTCCTTTTCGGTTCCTTCTTGATTTCCCTCCGAGAACATGCCCAAAGTGGGTTCCATTTCCGTTTTGAGACAGAGCAAGGACCTGATACCATATCTACGTACATACATATATACTCAAGGAATCCAGCAAACACGCAACATACATGCATATAGATATGCATGTATACATGAATATACGTATGTGTACAAATTCTTGTAGATATATAGCGCCTTCGTAGACCTGGGGTTTGCAGTGCCAAAAAAGATCGAGCGCCCCGAGCTCGCGGGCGCCTGCGAGTGACCGGGAAGCCGGAGGCGCTGGTTGTTTGGACGGCGCGAAACTCGGCCCTTCCCAAGCGCCATCCGAAAATGGCGCGATCGGGATCCCCCGATCTGATCAGGGGGCGTTTTGATCGAAGAAGTTTTGGATAGAAGTAGATGGCACAAGCCAGTTGCCTTGGGCTTTTAATCCCTTCGAGAGGAAAAAAAGGCAACGCAAGTTCCTTCTAGGTGTTGCTTCTCCACCATCGTTCTTTTTGTTTCGGGGCTTGATGCCTTGCAAGCCTATTTTCAGTCAGCGATTGTTTCAACAAGCCATATCTTTTCGTGATTTCGTCAAGACTATCCTGGCCATTTCTAGCAAGCCGTGTACCGTTTGGTTGGGCGACTGGAACAGAGGAGTTGATTTGCGGGATTTGACCCCCGGTCGTTCGTGGCCAAAACAGAGCCTGACAAAATACAGGTGTTCCTAGGGGTTGTTTCATTGCAATCTTCGGTTCAGCCATCCGTTCGTTTCAAAAAGACAGCAGCAGTCTTTTTGAGGTACCCTTTTGGTGATTGAAGATTAAGCGACACCACAATTTCCAGAAGTTTGCGATTTGGAAGGAAGGTCCGAGCCCTATCCTCTTGTGAGCATGGCCTCGGTTGGAAGTTTCAGGTAGCATCAGCCCTCGTATCCGAGAAAGCAAAGCCAAGGAGGGTGGCAAAGCTGGCTGGGCAATGTTTCTTAGCGGAAACACATATAGGAAGAGAAGTAGTGTGACATACCTCAGAGGCAAAATCATTTGGCCATGGGTCAAAAGCCCGTACCCCCAGTGAACATCCCAATCCCAACTAAAATAGGTTCTAAGCTGGGTGGTGAATTCAGCTACCCCAAAATGGGATCCCATTGGTTTTGACCCAAAGCCATTTGCTTTGGGGTGCAGACACCTGATCCCTGGGGGGCTACCTGAAAATTCCAGCCCGAGCCTGCAGAGCCGACACACCCGGCAAGCCCTTGCTTGCCGGGAGAGTTTTCCGCGCGAGGAGAGAAACCGGTTCGCTGGTGCGGGGTGAGTCGCCTTGGGATTTGAAACCTCCGAAACCCCCCGGTACCATGGTTGTTGCAACGGGACACATTTTTCCACCATTTTTGCGCAAGTTGTGGTTTAGTGGTGGAAATCTAACCAAACATTTTTCCAATTTTTGCGCAAATTGTGGTGTGGTGGAAATTCAAATCCACTGAACTGCTGAAAATCGAGAATTTTTGCTCCCCTGCCAACTTCAACCATACCCCGGTGGGTTTCATGCGACTCAGCTCGTGCTGATCAGGTCGGCGGATTGGAAGGGAGGAGGGTGTCTTTTGTCAGTAACTGGTCATATGATATGCCAGACATGTCCAAAGGAAATTGGCAACACACCGCAAAGGTCTTGCCGGGGGTTTGTTTGGCGTGTGTTGCTGGCCATCCCCAGCGCGCACGCTTGTGCATTCGAATGGGTTCTGAAGGTCTCATGAGAAACCGCGAGGTCAAACGAGTCATACATCCCTCCCAACAGACACGGGTGTGTCTTTTTTTAAGGGACCCCCCCCAAATGGCTTCGGTTTTCCTTTTGGTAGTCCTTGAACACACCAAGTAAGGGTACTATCAAAAAGAAGCACCTACCTGGCGTGGTGAGACCCGTTTTGGACGCCCAAGCCTTGCTTTTGGGCAAGCCAGGTTTCTTGGTAGGTCCCAGTTTTGAGAGGGGGCCCCTTTTTCTTTTTTTGTTTGGTGGGTTCGCGGATGAAGGATGGTCCACCTCGTTCCCCTTGGTTAGGTCACCGGGCAACTGACATCCTCTTTTCCACTTCCTTGGCCAGGTTTCCCCAGTCAAACGGATGATCCTTGAAATCCACTGGGCTTGGAGTGAGCCATGGTTCTTTTCAGCACCTGGACCAACAGATCGATTTCCTTTGACGCCTCTTTGGGACACATCATTCTCCTTTCCCATTTTCGCCTTTTTCCATGTTCGTTTGCAGCAACCCAACTGAATGGGCCGATTTTCCCCAACCCATGTGCTTTCTGTGGGTCAAAACCAATGGGATCCCATTTTGGGGTAGGTGAATTCACCACCCATGATAGAGCCTACTTTCGTGGTTGGATTGAATCGGATGTTCACTGGCTACGGGCTTTGGATTTTGGCCCATGGCCATGTCTTCCCCGCGTTTCTTCGCGTGGAACCCCACGCCGCCCGCGTCGAAAACCGAAAAAGCGGCGCCAGGCCGGGCCTTTCGGCGCTGGAGCAGCGGAGCCTCCAACCAGGCGAAAAAACGTGGGGGGGGTGGGGCGGAAAAAACACGCGCGCCGCTCGGTCCCTCGGAGGGAAACAGATGTTTGGGCGTTTTTCGCAGAGGTTTTGGATGAGAAGAAGAAGGAAAACGAGGCAGCTGTCAGGAAAATCCGCCAAACCGCGGCTCCCATGGCGTCCCTTCTGTTTCCTCAAAATGGGGTCCCCCTTTTTTGGATGCATAGGTTCCTTTTTGGTTGTTTTGGTAGAAAAATAGATGGCCCTGGTGTACCTGGTACCAGGGCCATCCATTTGCCCTAAAAGGACACCTATGTTTGGATGGGTTTTAGATGAAACCAGAAGAACACCACATTTCAGGGGGCCCCTACCTTGGAGAAACACATGGGCGGAGGGTTCCATTCTTCTGAGGCGAAGGCGAAGGATCTCCTTCTTGGGGTTGGTTCAACGGGAAACTATGAGGAAAACCACGCCCAAGCGAATATGTTGATTGATTTTCCCTTGTTGGCGTTAAAGGGAATCTATGACATACCGTGTTTGATGTGTTTTTGTGCATTTCAATGGGGCTTAAGCAAATGGCAGTTGATTGGTAATTGGACAAGTGACCACTTAGTTAGTGGCCAAGCTAGCCCAAACATGGCAAGGGTTTCTTTTTTGGTTTCCCTTTAAACTCGCCTTGGGCAAATCCGGATCCCTGCAAAACCCATCACGTGAGAACAACCAATGAATCCCTGCGAAACACGAGCAAGGAACTTGGGATCAGAGCTTGTTGTTCGAACCCCAAATGTGGACCCCGGATTTGGGAAGAGCCCGCAGGACTTTGGGAGGTGTTTCCCCAAAAGAGTTTAGGCGCCCCCCAAAAGTCTACCAGGAGTTCACTACATCCTGGGTTCACTACTTGTGTTGCCAGCTGGCCTTGTCGGCTTTGAGGATGGCCAACAAATGAGAGGAGCCACGATTACATGTGGCTTCAATCAGTACCAGCGCACATGAGTCTAGGAGCCTTCGAGATCATGATGCCATACATTTTCGTGATGCTGGTGATGCAGCAACATCATTCTGCAGTGCAGGTTGCCAGCCTGCAAATTGTTGCCAGCCTTGAAGGGCTTGGTCATGCTGCAGGTTGCCAGCTTGCATAAATGACTAAGCCCTTCAATCTGCAGGCTGGCAACCCACAGAATGACCAGCATGATGTTCTGAATCACCGGCATCCTCCAAGCCCTTCCATCTGCAGCTGTCAACCTGGAGAATGATGCTTCTGCATCACCTCTGCAGGCTGGCAACCTGCAGAATGATGTTGCTGCATCACCGGCATCCTCCAAGCCCTGCCAGGTGCTGCCCCAAAAAAACCTAGCAGTCACCACAATTTCGACGATTCATCCACTGTTAGTGGGTGGGGGCAGGGAGGGACATGCGCGTATTTTTGTTTAGATCGCCAAGTTGCGATCGTTTTTTTCAGCCACTGTTGCTGGTGTTTGGGGTAAAGTTCATGGAAAAAAGAGCGATCGCAACTGGCGATCCAGGTAGGCGTTTTCTTTTTGAAGAGGACCTTTGGGGTTTCCCGAATCTCCAAGAAATCGCTCCGCAGGTCTTCGCGAAGCACCGGCGGACGCTGAGCCAGCGCTTGTTCCTCGCGAAGCGCCTGGGGCGGTTTTCGCGGGTTTGGGGGAGGGCGCGGTGTCCGAGGTTTGGGGGGGGGTTGAAAATGGGGGCGGTGCGGGCCCAAGGAGGTGAAAGTGAGCACATCACAAGGGACCCTGGGTTTGCAAGTGAAGTTGAGAAGCTGAAAGGACATGGACCTCATAACTCGAGGCGCTTCGCAACATGAGAAAGTCAGCATCGGATTCGGAGTTCCCGGAAAGCGATCGATCCGGTTTCCCGGCTTTGGAGGCGTTCGGTTCCCCTAAAAGTTGCAAAAAGGTAGGCACCACTCAAAGGACACGCCCATCTGGGGGTTCTTTTTGAAGGTACGTACTGTATCTTGGCGGTGTTTTGAAGGGAGAGATATCCACGTCTGAGAACGATTGGAAGATGCGGCCCGGCCTGTGAAACAGTTGGTATCCCCAACAGCCCGGCCAACACCCAGAGCCTATTCGGGCACAGACCCCAGCGCTTCCAGCTGTTGGGTGACAACAAACTCAGGTGTCCCTCCCGCTTTTTGCGAAGAACAAAAAGTCAGCGTCCGGGGATTGCCGCTTGAAGCCAGAGCAGCTCGCAGGTTTCCCTGGGGAACTGGTCCGACCGGATCATGTGACGGGGCAACTACTCCCATGAGGGGACATGGCTCAGGCATGGCTTTTCTAGACCAAAGGGGTCATTCTTTGGGTTCGATGGCTCCGCAGCTTGGAGACCGAAGTCCCCCCAAGAACTCGGTGTTTTGTTTGGGGAGGCGCGTGTGAATCTGAAGATGGGATCCAACCGCTAAACGTTTTCGCATGGCAGACTCGTTTTGTACGCCCCCGCGCCTTTTCGCCGAATCGTTTTTTTTCATGGCGGTTTCGCCGGGCCTTTTTTCGCCGGCCGTTTCGACCTTCGTTCCGTACCCCATGGAACTGAAATCCGCCGAAGGGAGGCAGGCGGGAGGTCAAAAGCGAATCGAGGCCCATCTTCGTGGAGGCCAAGGTGAAGATGCACGGCATCCTCCGCAACCTCAGCTTTGCGGGCCCGGGACTGAGGGACGGAGAAACCCATAAAGCCCCTTACAAGGCTCCTTAGCAAAATGTAGAAAAAGTAGAGCCCTCCAAGCCAAGGGTTGCAGGGTTTTACTTTTTCTACATGCTGCTTCTAAGGCTCTTAGGTCTCGACAGGTAACCTGTGGGAGGTCCAAGTCCAGTGGTCCCCTCTGGGGTTTTTGTTCCGGGTTGGTTTTTTGGTGTAAGGGAGAGCCCCACCTTGTGAAGTGGGCTTTTGAGCTGCATGTCTTTGAGCAAGGGAGACTTTCAGGCCTCCTTTTCTAGGTTTGGCTGAAACTGGATGGATGGCACCTGTTTCATTTCGCGGCTTCCTGTCGCACAGATTTCTCATGTCGCTAAGGCTTTTGCATGTGTGCAAGCACTCGGTGCAGCCCTGTAGGTCAGAAAGGTGGTTTGGGAGGTCTTGCCTGTGGACTAGGCTTGTGAAAATGCTGCCCCTGTCCGGTGCCACTAATGCCAGCTAGGAAAATTCACCAAGAGTCGCACCCCCTCGCACACACTTTGCACATCCCGAAAACGCGCATTCCTCCTGCACACAAGAACCCTTGGCGCACCACCCTCACACACACAAGCAGACACGAGGACACACACACACACAACACACAACACACACACAGACAGAGAAACACACACACATACACAGAACACGCCCACACAGACACAGACACACGCAACACCAATACGCAACACCCAACCCGGAACACGCAACACACACACACATACACAGACCGGTGGTGGTTGTTGCTCAGTGTTGGCGTGGTGCGTGGTGGCTCCGGCCTGCATTGGAAAGGTAGTTTCAAACTTTTTCTTAAGGTGGCACGAGAACTCCTCCTGGCTCCTGGGATTGCTGCCCCGAAATGGGAGGTGTAGATGATTTGTGTAGCACTTTCAAGGCTCCTTCGGACGCGGTTCCAGCTATAAACTGGTTGCTTTAAGCATCGTCACTTGTTGGTTGCCAATCTACAGGTGAGATGAATGGAAATCCATGGAACCAGTTGAACTCTTCACTGGAGCCTCGACCTCAGAAAAACCAAGCGCAGGGCCGCGATGGTCGTTTTTCTTTCCGCTTCCAAAAAAGAACCCGTCAGGCGGAAATCACCCGATGGGCTCAAATCACGGGTGACTTGTCAAGTTTTGTATTTTGCTTTGCTTACCCCCTCCCCATCCCCCCAAATAAATACCCTTAGAAAAAACAACCGACAGCAACAACCTCACCTGCAAACTACCCTCTTTTTTTCTCCTTTCAACCAACTTCCCTTTGTTTTAAATCCAAGGGAATTCGTGGAAGCCTGGGTTTTGAGAGAACCTCATGGGACCTCCACCTCCATCGAGCCAGGGCTGCTGGCACTGGACGGGCAACGCAGCGCGGTAGAGCTCGGGAGCCCAAGGGCAGCTCCCGTTTTGTTTTTTGTTTTTTTCCCCCGTTTAAAGAGCAGCCCGGTTGACCACAAGCTGCCACCGGATGCCGATGGGATTTGAACCCATGACCTCCCTTAGCCAGGGGCCGAGGGCGCGCTGCCATTGCGCCACGGACCCGGCACAAGGAATCTCCTGCGTCGCCAGAGCAAGTTGAAGCAAGCAGAACGCACAAAAACACCCACAAAACGCGCGCGAAAAAAAGCGGCAGCGCCACCAGACGCAGCCGAATGACCCCCGGGCGAAGGCTGCGCCCGCTGTTGGCGCAGCAGCGGGGGCTCTGCGAGGGTGCAGACCTGGACTCCACGGCGGAGGCGGCGCGGGAGGCGCGAGCCGAGCGATGCGGAGCAAAGGTGGTTCGAGGTGGTTCAAGGGATCTTTGGGGCCGGTGCCGTGGGGGGGATTTTGGGATGTTGGGATCTTGGAGGGTTTTGGAGGGTTTTGGAGGGTTTTGGAGGGTTTTGGAGGGTTTTGGAGGGTTTTGGAGGGTTTTGGAGGGTTGGCGTTTTATTGTTTTTAGTATGGGGTTAGGCCAACGCTGTTTAAACATGGTTCAGCACCAATGGTTCAAATTAAACTTCACGGGCGCCCGGACGGCACACTCCATATTCCTAGCCGGATTTTGTTCCCGTGGGTCGTTTCAGAGTTGGCACGGGTGAGACAAAAGTCCCAGGAAGGCCATCGAACTGCTCAAAGATCCGAACTTAAAAGGCCCGGTTTTTTTCCACCGGATCATTTCATTTCTGGCAGCGTGTCTTGCTCTTTGTAACACTGGACAACTATGGGCCACACAAAATAACATCACCCCGGGCTTTGCGACCCGCAAGAAGGCACGTTCACACTTTGCCCCTTTTCATTTTCGGTCGGTGAGACGTTTCGGTAGTCCCCCTTTCTGTGTTCGGCGGGACCCATGCATGTCTCCTTTTTTCCCATTTTGGGGTTGGGGGCTGCCCAATTTGTCCCCAACTGTCTCCTGTTGCGTTTGAACCTGCCCGGAAGTCCGGAAGTCCGGAAGTCCAGGTGCTGGATGAGACCATCAAGAAGCTCATGTCCGGCCAGGACCACGTGACCCCCCAGGCGCTGCCTTCGACAGGGGTCCCTAGACTTTCCCCTGGTGATTTTACTGGGTCTCCCAGCCATCCGGTTCCTTGGCTTTTTGAACTTTTAGTGTTTAGTGGTAGTTTCCATTTCACCCGCCAAAAGTTAAATTTTTCGCGGGGGATCTGAGGGCAGCCCAGTTTAAACATCACTTTTTCCGCGCATGAAAGGTGAGTGTCCCTTGGTCGGGGTGATGTTTTGGGGGAAATCTAGGGAGCCTTGTTCGAGGGATCTGTTGAAATTCATAGAGCCAAGATGAACAGTTCGCCTGAGAGGTGGGAACACTTTGACAGATCCGCAAACCAAACAGCAGATCCGCCATGTGAAACACGAGCAGTTTTTTGAAAGCTGACCACGAAATAGCAGGAATAAATAGCTGAACATATAGGTACACATTTAGCTTAATTATGGGAAGATATTGATTTTGCATTTTTGATATTGAGCAACATTGTAAATATGGTGCTATAATCCAAAAAATGTGTTTTGCTCTTCTTATTTGTTTCAATTGAATTGTATGTATTGTTGTATTCTCTATCAAGCATCTATCAAGTTCTTCTTACATGCTTTCGCTAAAATAGGTAGTTAAAATTGAAATAGAAAACACATATATATATATATATACATATATATATATATACGTTGCAATGTGAGAAGTATATGAACTCAATCAAATCACGCAGCAATTCATTGTGTTTGTCTATGTGTTGTATTTGTCTTTGTTTAGCTTGTTTTTCCCTTCCCCGACTTTTTCGGATTTTCACAACAGTAAAGTGTCTTGTTTGCGAATCAGTGGGGACTTTTGCGAGCCCACGTTCCCCTAAGAACCTATAGAAAGAGGAGGCCTTCACTTGCCGGCCCCTCTTTGGTGGGCATGGGGCCGCTGGGTCCAGGACTGGAAGTGCAGAACTTGGATCCAATCCGTGGGGATTTTTGCCAGTCGCTCGGGGGATCTGGGCGAAGTTCGGGTTTTGGTTTGGGCATGGGTTGTTCCTACCCCAAATCCCTCAAAAAAATGGCCTAAAGCAAAAAAACACGGGTATTCGGAGTACCCCCCCAAACCAGCGGAAAATTGGAGAAGAGACACCAGGTATTCGGAGTGCCCCCAAAAAATGGTTATAAGGGGGCGTCTAAGGCAGGGAATTTTCAGTTTTCAGTTTCAGGGGCAGGGTTCATTTTCAACAAGCAAACCATTTTGTCCAAAACACCAAGGGGGATTGTAGGGATTTTTTTCAGATTTTTTAAACAATTTTTTCATAATGAAACAGGTTAGGATATTGTCATTTACATGGTTAGGATTCTGGATTTATCAATCATATTATAAATTAACAATATGATAGATAATTATGGTTCTGTTTCATTTACTATATTCATGTTGTTTAGATGTTTTTTAGTTCGCTCGTGTCTTGCTTTGTTATGAAAAGTCACCATAACTTTACAGCAGGGACATTCATATCGCCATTGTCGATATTCTTTGTTATATTCTTTTTTGTATTCCTTATTTCGTTCATAATATTCTTTTGTCTGTTGCCTTTCCTTTTCTCGGTTCTGTCTATGGTTCTCTCTACTTTTCTCGCCACACCCATTACAGAGTTTTCTATTATCAGTAAATTCTACATCTGGGTTAGACTTTTTACACCAACTACATTTTCGCTCATTTTGTTCCTCCATACTAATTATACCCGTTATCCCTTTAAATGTTCTTGGGTAAATTTTCTCAACATGTTTTTACAATTTTTTCATTATGAAACAGTCTAAGATTTCATCATTTTCAAGGTTCGGGTTTCAGACAATTTTTAAGCTTTCTGGGGGATTGAAGAATTTAATCGTATTATAAGATAATAATATAAATAAACTGACTGAATTACACAGGTTCATCAACAATTAGTTTAAACCTTATGCTTTTTTAAACCTTCAAAATTCATTTAATGGCGATGTGGACATGGAGGATGACCCTGACTTGTAAGGTTCAATACCCCAGTGAGTGAAGTTGAAAACCCACTTCCTACTTTTTGGGACAAGTAGGAAATTGAAATCCTACTTTTTGGGACAAGTAGGAAATTGAAATCCTACTTTTTGGGACAAGTAGGAAACCTACATTATACTTTCAAGCAGGTCATCCAAATCCACAATTTAATCAAAACGATTAAATGCCAAGTAGGAAATCTGCATCCGACTTCGGTAGGTCGCCTGTAAATCTTGTCATATTTGCTTAAATCACAGAAAGACAGACATCAGGCAAAGAGGATGAAAAAGCGTGCTTTTGTGTTTATTTTTCAGGTGTTCACCCAAACTCGTTTTTGGGGTGTCCTCCCAAACTCTTTTCGGGTTGTTCCCTAAACCCTCACATCAACAACATCCATAACCTCAATCCCAGACCCACCAGCAACCCGCCCCCAAATATACTTAAAGAGAAAATACCATATATAGTATAGAGAAATGGCAGGGGAATACAGCACGGGTTCAGTAATTGAATATTTGTTATCCAATAATGAAGGTCAAATAAAAACAGGGAAGAATAACAAACCATTGAAAAAACTAATCATCAACAACAAAGAATACTATTACAACAAAGACAAACCATTATCCTCATCACTTCAAAACAAACTCAATCAAGTCAGCAACACACAAGGTTTCAAACGATTTCATCTTCTAAAAAAAGCATCAAACACAATGAGAGGCATTAAAACAATCCAGAAATACAGATTAAAAATAGGAGCAAAAACATCAGAGACATTTTCGGCATTGAAAGGATATGCAAACACATACTCAATATCCAACATACCATTCAAGGGATACAAAGGATTAACATATCTTTTATGGCAAGAAAAGAAACTAACAGAGTTTTTACAACAAACAAAATCAATAAAACTACTGATTGATGTTGAGGTTATTTTTGATAAACTTAGACAGCAAGATGATGATGGAGAAGATGAACCAATTGAGGAAAATATACAAATAAAACACAATATGAGAAGCAGGAGATATAACATTTTGAATGTAGGAGACTTGAAAAAAGCATTGGAAAATATACCTAAATATATTGAATTACAAATTGAAAACTCACCTTTGAAACATTCAGGATTGAAGATTAATAAGATTAACAAAATCACCATCCACTACGACAAATACAATCCGAACAGAGCAGGAAGATATATGGAACTACCAGAATGGATTTCAAAGAAAAAAGCATGTATCAACATTCAAAATGATGATGAATTATGTTTTAAATATTGTGTTTTATGTAAATTTTATGAAGTCTTCAAGAAAGACCATCCACAACATATGAGACACTACAAGAAATTAATAACTACTGAAAGTCTAATTCAATGGGATGGTGTAAATTTTCCAGCATCCAATGATGACATAGACCATTTTGAAGAAATCAATAACAAATCTATATCAGTTAATGTTTATGTTGAAGATGAGAACCAAACCATCAGAGCAGACAGAATAACAAAAATTGAAAGACCATCTTGTCATATTAATTTGTTACGAATTGAACAAAACAACAACGAACATTATGTTTTAATAAAAGATTATAATAGATTAATGGGTAGTCAAACCAACAATCACAAAACAAAGATATTTCATTGTATTTACTGTCAGCACGGTTTTCAATCAGAAAAACTTTTAAATTCTCACTTAATAAAAGGTTGTATGGCAAATGACATTCAACAAACAAAAATGCCAGAAGAAGGAACATCAATGAAGTTTGAAAAGCATTTTAAGAAACTGAAAGCACCATTTGTTATTTACGGTGATTTTGAATGTTTAACAACAGAAACATCAGATGGAATAAAGGGAACATACCCTATGCAACCAAAGGGAGCATACCAAAATCATAAACCCAGCGGTTATATGCTTAACCTTGTTAATGCTTACAGTGGAGAAATGAAACCATTTTTTATATAGAGGTGATGATTGTATGGATAAATTTTGTGATACATTAAACAATATTAGAGACGATGTAATGAAACAAATGAAAAATCCAAAAGATATGATTATGTCAGATTTAGATGAAATTAAACATTTAGAAGCTAAAAAGTGTTTCTTATGCAATGGCACTTTTGACAACAGAGTAGAAGCGAAAAAGAAAGTTGCTGACCATTGCCACTTCACAGGATTATACAGAGGAGCGGCACATATGAAATGCAATATAGACTATTGCTTTAAAAAGTATCATATACCAGTATTCTTTCAGAATCTTAAAAACTATGATGCTCATCTCATAATATCAAATCTTGAAAAGTTAAATACAAAGAAAGAAAGCATATCAGTAATAGCACAGAACAGTGAGAAGTTTATTACATTTTCATTAAACAGACTTGAATTTAAGGATAGTTTCAGTTTCTTGTCATCATCATTAGATAAACTTGTTAAATTAACAAAATATGAAGAGAATAAATTGAGGGACAACTGGCAGGATCATTTCAAATACAGTTTCAAAGGAAAATACATTAAAAACGAAAAAGATTTATTTTTACTGACAGAAAAGGGAGTTTATCCTTATGATTATTGTAATGACTTCAATAAATTTAATGACACTGAACTACCAGAAAAGAAACATTTTTATAGTAGATTAAGTGAAGAAGATATAAGCAATGCTGACTATGAAAGAGCAAAACTAATATGGAAGCACTTTAACATCAAAAACCTTGGTGAATATCATGATTTATATCTAGAAACCGATGTATTATTATTAACAGATGTATATGAGAATTTCAGAAAACAATGTTTAACTGATTATGAATTAGACCCAGCTCATTATTACACATTGCCTAACTTTGCTTGGGACGCGATGCTATTAAAAACGGGAATTGAGTTAGAACTTCTACATGATGAAGAAGTTTATAAAATGATAGAGCAAGGACTAAGAGGCGGTATGTGTCAATGTGCCTACAAAAAAGCAATTGCTAACAATAAATATATGGGTGAAGATTATGATAAGTCTAAACCATCTTCATATATTTCATACCTTG